AAAACTTGCGTGGATCACTTTTTAGAATGGTCGGCAAGTTAAAGTTATAGAAAGAGTGTTTCGCTTAGTCATGCTCGGCTACATAGTATTTTTCCCATGCGCGTTGGCTTCCCTTCTGTTTGGCTGAACGAAAGAGGCGTTTCTTTTTGCTTTCTAGGCGTTTTAATGTTTCGGTGAACCAGGGCTTTTGAGTGTCGGTCTGGAAATTGAATGTGGGTATATGTTTGCTCACAAGATAATCCACTTTGTCCGCAAATAATTTCCAGCTATCTTGCACTGATCTATTTTGGAAAAATGATTCGAAAGATGGAAAGAAAGTGCGGAGTTCATCAATGATAGCTGTGTAATTACCTTTGTCATAAAGACGTATAGTTTTTTTTACTTTTCTGACGAGACACCGGTTTGAACGTAAACTCAGCATGAATTGCCTTGTGATCGCTAATTTCTGGAAGATATGAAATGGACGAAAGGCTGTCAGGGTGATCTGTTAGTATTACGTCAAGGGTATTGGCGCACGTTTGAGTTACGCGAGTTGGTTCAGTTACAAGTTGGGTTAAGTTAAAGTTAAGGCACAAATCAAGAAAGTCGTGCTCTTCGGGTTCTCCTGACGTCAAAGTAATTTGGTTTACCCAGTCAATGAGAGGATGATTGAAATCCCCAAAAAGAAGAATGCGGGCGTTAGGGTATGCAGTAGTTAAATCATTTAACGTGTCGTTAAGTTTATTAGCAAAGTCGGGAGTGCTGTAGGGAGGTCTATAACAGGCACCAATTAAAACAGTTTCAGGAGTGGCATGGCAAAGAAGCCATATAATTTCGATGTCAGCCTGAATGTTAAGCGCCTTACAATAAATATCTTTGCTGATTGCAATAGCCACGCCCCCGCCTCGCCTGTCTATACGGTCCTTGCGAAACATTGTAAAATTTGGAAGGTCTGTAAGAACTTCATGGTCGCTAATGTCACTGTATAGCCATGTTTCTGATAAAACTAGTATGTTGCTGCTCGACGAGGAAACAAGATTAGAAATGACGTCTCGCTTTGGAAGAAAACTGCGTATATTAGTAAAAATAACTGATAGCGAAAGTAGTGGACGTGGGGTGGATCTGGGGCCATGAGGCGCGTTTGGATTGCAAGGAACTAGCTATAGTAATTCTTTAACGGTTTGTGATGATTCCTCAAATATGTAGCGTTTCTTGCCCATGCGTAGTGCTTTGAAGGTCAACATAAATGGACATGACTGGGACCTAGCGAAAGCGATAAGATGCCTGCAAGCAATTCGACCTGTTGCGGAATAGTCTTCGCCGACGCTGTACCCGGTGTTTTTAAGTTTGCGGCCGTTTGAAAGAATCTTGTCCTTTGTTTTAAAAGTATTGAATTTTACAATTATCGGCCTTTCTTTGCCCACAGCGTGACGGCCAAGACGATGTGCTCTGTCTATATCGTTTGATTCAATATTCAGTTACATGTGATTAGCACAAAGAGCAATAACAAATTTTTCCGGTTCAGTGAAATGTTCGGAAGGGTTAGTGTCGGGAATGCCATAGAATATTAAGTATACACTTCTTTCCCTTATATATATATATATATATATATATATATATATATATATATAAGGGAAAGAAGTGTATACTTAACCCCTTAAGGGCTCATTAAACAAATATATTATGCAACAATATGGCCAAATTTTTTAATGATGTGATATGCTTCAGAAACGTGTTCAAAACACAAAAATATTTGCGAAAATTGTTTATAGTCAATAATCATGTTTAATTGGTCATTCTTTACCCCATATAATACCCTATATTTGGGGCATTTCTGGTGTATTCACAAATTAATTTCTGCAACTCCAGAAAGCACGGGTCGGGTTTGAATTGCCTTGCAGAAAACAAACAATTTCTTGATAGTTCACTTGAAGCTAGTTGAGGCTACCATCCGTGTGGTAGCGTTCAAAGCACGGCACTGCGCAGAGAGCCTTCTCGCACCACCTGCACCAGGTGCTGGTTTCCTTGCGGATGTTCTTGCCATTTACATCTCGCTTCATGTAGCAGACTACGCAGCGGCGTGTCGGTTCTTGCTTCTTCTCTGTTGGTGGTATGTGCGATGGAAAGTGGCGCTCACCAAACCGTTTTGCGTTCAGGGGGCGCCCTGGCCGTCCTTTCTTCTTGGTGCCGGTGTTGGGAGAGTACTTCGTGATGATCTCATCAATAAGCCTTAGCCTATACTCCAGATGAGATGCTCGGCCTCCTCCTTTCTGGTACAGAACGAATGAATTGTAGGTCGCCTCATCCAAGAGGTGTTGGAAGATCTTCTTGTAGGAGATCTTTTTTCGTTTCCGTGGCACTGAGTAGCTCGCCAGCATCTGATCTGCTCTGTCAACTCCTCCCATTGTATGGTTATAATCAAGTATAACTTCTGGCTTCAGGGTTTCTTTGCCCATTTTGTCAATGAATCGCGCCATTTCAGCACTATGTACTGTAAATAGAACCGTCACCAGTTTTTTGTCCATCCACTGAACAGCCAAGCACTTGCCCCTTTGAAAGGCAACCATCTCGCCTTTCTTGAGCTTTGCCTTGGCGAAACCAGGCGGAAGGTCTTTGCGAGTGGCTCGCGTCGTGCCATAGATGTCAGTTGATCTCTTCAAAAGAAAGTCAACCAGTTCTGGTGAGGTGTAGAAGTTGTCAGTTGTGACGCAGTAGCCTTTGTCTAGCAGGGGCTCCAGAAGCTTCAAAACAACTTTCGTCGCCATTCCGAAGGTTGCTGCTTCTTCTGACGAGATCTCAATGTTCGTTTCTTTCCCTGTATAAATTACAGAGTTCCATATATACCCACTTGAAGATTCGCACAGCAAAAATGACTTTATGCCAAACCTCGCTCTCTTCAGGGGCATATACTGCTTCCAGCTGAGCCGGCCTTTGAAGAGCAGCAAGCTCTCGTCGACACTGACGTCCCGCTCCGGCACATACAATGTCCGGTATTTTTCAAGAAGTGCCTGATAAACCGGCCAGATTTTCCTCAGATGAGGTTGAGGGTGTCCTTCACAATTTTCGATTGTCGTGTTGTCGACAAAGTGCAACATTCTCATTATTAGTTCGAAGCGGTTTCTGGACATTATCTCGCCAAAGACCGGAGTCTCAACCAGCCGATTCCTAGACCAGTACATCCTTTCATTTGGTTTTTGCACAATGCCTTGCAGCAACAGGAGGCTCAGAGAAACGCGAAGTTCTTCTCGCGTAAGTGCATACCATTTTCGGAAGCGAGAATGTTGTCCCAGCTTGCTAGAATTCAGAAGCTGAGAAGCGTACCGGTTTGTCTCCACGACGATAACATCAAGCAGCTCATCATCAAAGTAAGCTTCAAAGAGCTCAAGTGGATGAGGGGGAGAGCTTACTGTGATCTTCAGTCCCGTGAAACCCCTGAAATCAAACCGTGGAGGTCTGGCTGGGATGTTGTCGAGGTCTATGCGAAACCATTCACGGGAGCAAGCCATTGTATCATCGCTACTGTCTTCTCCTTCAGAGTCACTGTCCGTAAAAACGTCATCACTGTCTTCTTCACTTGAAGAATAAAACACTACGGTGGCATCCTTATCACTCTCGCTTTCATCGTCTGAAGAAGGAAGATTCCCCGCATCAGAACGCCGCACGGATGAGGCCATGTTTGTAAAACGCGCGGGAAACAAGCGCACACATTCCGCCATCTAGTGTGCAAACTATAATTTAATACCACCGCCAATGACGGAACTTGCGGTGCTTAAACATAGATGGCAGCACAGGTTCCGTAAATCCCCGTTTGACGACCCGGGTTTGTCAAAAGCCTGTAGGAGCATTGCGGAAAACTCATGACGACCACAACTCGTCATAAGCAAAATAGTGGCAACTGCTCTTGACGCCTTAAGGGGTTAAGGGCTCGTTTTTCCGTGTTTTAGCACAATACTAATGAGATCTAACAGACAGTTATGCCAAGGAATGTACAGGGGAAGTTATTAGAACCAATGGAATGTAAATAAGAAGAAAGAAAAGTGGATGAAAAAATAACCAGCCGTGGGCAGGAATCGAACCTACGACCTTGTGTGTGTGTGTGTGTGTGTTTACTGTGACATATACAAGGAAGGTAAATTTCTCAAAACAAGGTGCACCACTTCTTGTCTAAACTTTCGACACCTAATAATAGAACTACGCTCATAATACAAAACATCCCCACAAATTTGCTCGCTCGTAATGGCGTTACGGCAATGGAATATTTAGAAAGCACCACAATTTAAGCTGTCGATACAAAATTAGAACTGGTTACAATAAATTTACGCACATTAACAGATGGGCTATACATACAATCAGCACTTTTTAATACGTTTGTGTGTTGTTTTTAATAAGTTTAATATGTAATAAGTCTTTAGGAAAGCAATAACTATTATCTTCCGCAAAACTGGCATGATAAAGCAGAGTCGTCACCGATTAATGTTGTGACAACGTTACTTATACTCGGGTTTCTCGTGAAGCAATCGAGCGAATGTAGGCTCATATGAGGAACAGTGTGCTGTAGATATCGTAGCGTCTGCCGACAAAACAAGCGTATGATTTAATCATGGTTTTGATACTTCTTCTCCTTTGTAGTTCGCCAGTAGCCACTGTTGATGTAACGCAGCTCAAAGCGCTGATAGAGTAAGAAGCTAGGTGGATCCGTGCAAATACCGATTAACATTTTTTTTTTTTTTTTTCTGGGTCGTCAGGCTCTTGAAACAGTGAATGTAGCGACGCAATTTCGGCGTGTCTGCATATTCACTCGTGCACCATGGCGCGTAGTAGGTGCGTCCACTGATATAGGCTCAGAAATGCATCAAACGCGCTAAAAACGAGTAATTACGCGCTTTCGCAGGCTCGGGCGCGCGCGTTCCCAATGCAGACGCTCGTGAGATCTTCAGTACCATGGGTCTACAGCGCCGCCGCTACTGTCACCCGCCGGAGAATCAGCCGAGTTGCGGCGCGACCGCCTTGTTCACTCCACTACTGTACCGCGGATCGAAGAGGCGGGAGGAGATGGAGAAAAGCGATCCATGTGAAAAGCACATGCGAGTCGCGAGTCCTCTGCGCATGCCGTTGGAGACGTGTTATAAAGGCACAATTCTGTCGTTAGATTAATGGGATGGAATCGGCACCACTGCAGGATGCGCTGGGACGATTCAACGACAACTGCAAGGATTTCTTTCACCCGCGCGCCCTCACTGAAATCACGGAGCAGCCGAGCCCGCTTGAATTTCACAGGCGCTGGGTTTCACCCAACTTGCCTGTCATCGTACGAGGCGGCGTGTCTCACTGGACTGCGGTAAATAAATGGACCCGTACCTACCTGAGGGAAAAAGTCGGGGACCTAGCGGTCACCGTGGCTGTCACTCCGAATGGTTTTGCGGACGCAGTGCACGAAGGTGTGTTCGTGACACCCGAAGAACGTGTCATGAAGTTCGGAGAGTTTTTGGACATTCTCGAAGCCTGCGAACGCCCCAAAGCGGTGTTCTACATTCAGAAGCAGAATTCCAACTTCACCGACGAGTTTAGGGAGCTTGCGGACGACGTTGAGACTGATGTTTGCTGGGCCACCGCAGCATTCGGCAAGGCGCCCGACGCGGTCAACTTTTGGATGGGCGATGAGAGGGCCGTCACTTCGATGCACCGCGACCACTACGAGAACATTTACTGCGTTGTTTCGGGCTACAAAGACTTCATCCTGCTGCCACCGACAGATTTACCGTGGGTGCCTTACGGAAATTACAAAACTGGACAATTTCGTCAAGTTGCCAACGGTCGGTTTGACGTAATCGCTTCAGGTACTTGGATTTATCGCTATAATTTGAAGCTTTTTATGGTGTGTAGGACTTCAAAATTTAAATATACGGAATATGTTCTGAAAATGTTCCAACAACCATCGTTGCATTGAATGTGCCGATAGTCGCAACAGATACCTGTTTACCGGACATTGCCTTAGGATGCGCTTTCACATATTGTAGCCGGCGAGAATAAATCGCCCATTGCACGTAGCGCCCCGATTTGGAAGTTCTTTAATTTTCCTTTAACTTAACTTAACCTCGAGTATTCCGCTTTGCTGCCACTTGAACATTGTCACAATTGGCCATTACTGCCAACCTGTGCAGGTGATGGTTCATCGGTGCCATGGATTCCCTTAGATCCAGAAAATCCGGACTTCGACAGATACCCACACTATCGACGAGCATCACCAGTTAAATGTAGAGTCGGCGCTGGTGACATACTCTACCTTCCTTCCTTGTGGTTCCACCATGTCCGACAAAGCCATGGTTGTATTGCGCTCAATTACTGGTATGACATGGAATTTGACATCAAGTATTGCTATTACAAGCTTCTGGAAGATTTGTCTCCAAGAAGTAAGAACTGTTGAAATAGTTTCCCATCTCCCATTGACTTTTGTAGTGAGTGTAATCACCCAGACTACTGAACAAGGAAAATGCAGAAATTTGAATCATCAATAAGAAATTTAATCACAACAAGGGCACACTTCAGACTATTGCAACAATACAACACAAAAATTAAGAACACCTTGCATGTCTTAGGACCAGTAGAAGGAACACAAATCCGTTTGTACAAGTACAAAAGTGCATATGTTAGTAGGCATGACATTGCCTCCAAAGGCAACCCAATGCAATGGGCTTAAGAACCAGAGATACGTCGTGCGGGCCAAATTTGGCAAAGCAGCCCTGACCAAAACCAAGCTGTGATTACGCCTCCGGAGAAGCGGAACTTGCTTGGTATTTTCGTTGCATTAAGTACCAGCTCTGTTGGCAATGCAAACAGATGCACCAACAACTCATGAAAGCTTTCTCCCAGAAAATAAATTATTAATGCAGAGAAAAAAATGACATGACTTCAATGATGGGCATTGCAGAAGTATGCAACCTGTGCTCACAAAACATTGTCAAACATTAGTACTATTAAAAATGTAAACATGCTCCACCTACATATTTTTTATTCATTAAACCTTTTTTAGATGCATATGTACATAGCTTGCATTAACATGCACACGCTTGGAAATGGTAGTCACGCGATTTCAGAGTGTGTTTTGCTGCATTAACTGATCACACAAAACAGCACTTCACATTTTCTTATCCATTCCCAATGCGTAAACATCCAAGTTTTTCAATTGAAATGCACATGGGCATTCACAAATTGTTCTTACTAACATGTCTGTACAACTTGCAACAGTTTCAGCCAATACAAATGAGATGCCAGTTATGGGGGCACAATCAGTAAGATGCCCCTCGACAAACATAGATTTGTGTGTTGATCATTAAAGAACAAAACCAAGACTATCATGTACATTGTTACATTAAAAAGCGAAACCCAGACTATCATATGCATCCTTACTTAAACATTTATATACATGTTTTGCCATCACGTGCGTCACATACTTTCACATTTGCTACCCAGACTATCATATGCATCCTTACTTAAACATTTATATACATGTTTTGCCATCATGTGCGTCACATACTTTCACATTTGCAACGGAATGACTTCCAACTCAACATCAGTGGTGCTGCATCTATAGTGCCAGAGTACGTGGCACTTCACAGAATGCACAACTTTCATTCACTTTCGGCTTGGCACAAAATATCTGTCATTGCAACTAGATTCACTGCATCATGAATGAGACCGTATGAAAAGATTTAGTCACAGAGCACGAAACTACCGCAATACGCAAAAGAAAGGTTCATGTGGTAAAAAAAGATATCTTATTCTTTAGTACATTTTCTGACATTATGATTCTTGTAGTTATTTGGCAATGATGTGCATGGATGCTATATAAGTTCAACTGCAAATTTTTTAGCCAGACCCGAAAATGCATTTAATAATCATAATTAACTAGCATTGATATGTTTTGAATACGCTGCAACCTTTCAAGGTGTACATGTTCACACGCACTCACACACACAAAATTAAGGCAAGTGTCTTGAAGTATGAAACGCCAAAAAAAGAAACTCTTCTGTTTAGTTTTGTCTCACTGTGCTGCACGAAGGAAAAGAGGGGCAGCAGCTCTTGCAGTAGCAGACTTATTAGTATCGGCTGTTGATGACAACAAACACACGAGAGGTACCGTCAGATGCCCGTCTTTCACCAACAACGTCGGCAGCTTTTTGAGATATGTACACATGGTTATGGTGCATTCCTGGTATTCTTTGTACAGATGAAAAAGGAGACTGATGACGGTGATGATGATGATAAGAACAATGAAGTTTTGATGATGGTTGCTGCTGGTCACTGTCTGTCAGTTTGAGTCTCCACCTGCCACCATAAGTTCTGAGGGCATGACGTTGATGAGACCGTTCTGCACGGTGAAGGTGTATTTTGCCGTCTGGTTCTGCAACAAGAGGTGAAGAGCGGTCCATTAGCGATGTGCGGTAACAAGCAAGGTGAACAAAGCTGGCTCAGCGGAATTCTCTGGTTGTTGATATTCAAAGGAATGTTGACAGTTTCAGCAATTGAAGAAGGCTTGTACATTGAGTTTTCGCTAGAGGAAAGATAGAGATGCCAAAACCTAGATGTTTGCGGGTATGAAAGGGGCCCTGCAACACTTTTTGAGCACGGTCAGGAAGCGCTGCAGATCGTAGTAGAGGCTCCTGATAACACGCGAGCTAAAAATTGATTTTTTTCGACAAATGACAGATGACACTCAAAAATCACTAGTAGAAGGCCATCTATCAGTCATTGGCTGATTTTAACACGGCGTGCTTGGTCGTTGCAGGGATCGCTGCAAAAGGCTGCAACTTGTCCACGCGTGCGCGCGCGATCGCACTAAAGAAAGTTGCATATTCGAAGAAAAAAAAAAGAAATAAAGTTCTCAAGTCACGAGGCGCATCACGTATTTTCTTTGTCCCCACTTAGCTTCCAGCGCTTTTGTCCGAACGAGAGAAGATAGAATGCGATTGCAGCGTACAACAAATCTTTGTAACTTCACTCATACTGAATGGATTCTTAAGGTTTTTGTGGCGTTTAATTCATGGCACATGGCACAGCTCTTTCAGTGAATCTGTTCCATGGTTACTTGAAAAAGTGCTTCAGGTCCCCTTTAAGTGTAAGTGTTAAATGGCATACAAGTGATGCAAATTTAGTGTGAATTGAATAGAGCTGTGCACAGATGTGACAAACGTTAGTGTACACTGAGAAAAAACGCTTCTTTATGTCCTATTTTATATGGTGCCAGCCTTATTGAAGACTGTCCTTATTTAGGTATACTCAGCAATCTCATTTAGCAGCACCATAGCAAATTTAATGAAGTCATTTTCTCGCAAAGTATTCACAAACCTTCAAGACGGAGGAGAGAGAACAAGAGAAGAAAAGCAGAAAAGTTAAGCAGGTTGACAGTTGGGTCAGCTACTCTGTCCCTGGCAGGACACCACCCCCAGGCACCTGCTGCATGCGATGTCCTCAACTTGTGATAAACACCTTTAAAAGCAACATTACATTGTTAAGGTGTTCATGGTGTGCTGTCAAAGGTTCAAGCTCACAAATGTGAGGATCCACGTTAGATTATGTTATCGATAAATATTTTTTTATTCTTTTTATTTGCTGTGATATTAAGACAGCATCAAAACATCACCTCAGGTTTTGCAGGCTAAAAGAGGTGCAATAATAAATAGAGCATAAATGTCAGTGGTTGAGGCGCTGAAAACACTATCAGAGCAGTACACCAAAGGTGCACCTGTAAAGCAGCTGACATTATGTAACCTGGCCTCCCAGTGACACACATCAACCACCAACACAAAGCACTGCAGAGCCAGCCATCACATGCAGACTTTTTTGTAATATCAAAGAACTGCAACAGTGTTTTGTGGTGCTGCGGATGCAAACATGCATAAGCAGAACTCCGATGGGAGTCCACTATGTTAGCAAGCAGATAAATGTTAATTTGGCACACCTCGAGTACCTCAAGGGAGTGAAGACCATTGGAGACATCGTCATGCTGCGAGGAGCCATCCACAGAATTTTGGTTGCTGCCAGTGTCGCCAGGCGAGTTCTCTCCATGGTCCTTGCGCGAGCTACCCGAGTGAAATCGGCCACCCTCACCGCGAATACGGTTCATCGCATGTCGGTGCCGAGACTCGTGCAGGTATTTCTGTAATGTGAGAATGAGTAATCGAGTCGTGAGATCGCAAACGTCGGGCTGTAAGCAAGCACTGCATTAGCCTGCTGTGTACATACATACTTGCACCACTGTATGACAGCAGATGATGCGCAGTATTCCACAAACAAGTGCTCTTCATAGTTGGTGACATTTGGTCAGCTTGTATAGGTTTGAAACAAAGTGAGCTTAAAAATATCCAGCTTCTTGGCAAGCGACTGTCACTTAATTAAGGCACTGTAGTACAAACAATAAAGGAATTTGAAAAACAAACGAGCCGGGACACCACATGTACTACACTTGCAGCTAACTATTGCCGTGTCCTAAATGACTTAGATCACCAATGCCCAACTGCTGAATGGGAATCGCTTTATACGTACTTCAGACTCTGAGTTTAAATAATAATTATTTACTAGAGGAGTGCACAGCACAATGTTGCTAATAAAAATAATGTGAAATTGGTCTGCTGTGTGCATTTCTCAAGTGGTTGTGATCAATATTCATTCCAGTGGACCTACAGTATTTTACACTTATTCTGGGTTTCTTACTTTAATAATTATTACTTATGCATAAACAATGCAAAACATTTTTTTACAACTTTATGGTTGCTATTAACAGTTAACAGTATATTTTTTCCAAAGAGGTCATTTTGAAATTTTTAAATCTGCAATGACAAAAAAAAACTGCATGAGTACCAAAACGACAATATGATTACTAGGGATGGCGTAGTGGAGGGCTCCGGAAATTTCGACTATCTAATGTGCACCTAAATATAAGTACAGTAAAATCTCGGTATAACGAACAAACTTTAGGGGGCCATGGCAATTTGTTTGTTATTTTGAAAAGTTATAGTGAAAGCCCAAAATTAACCTAACTACTTATTTTACACCGACCAAAATGACTTACCTTTACAACGGCGGGTCCTTGAACTCATTTTTCACGAGAAAAAAACTAATGAACAAGTGAACACCAAAAAATCACAAAAAGTCTATGATATTTTTTTATGCTTGCAGCATTAACTTTGCAGTGCAAAGGCATCCAGCTTTTGCCTTCCAGTTGCCGAAGAATATCCACTTCCTCGCTTAGTGAAAACTGCTTCTGCTTTTTCGGCACAAGCATAGATGAACTCATTGTAGTAGCACCGCAGCGCAAACGCCGACTTGCTTTGCAGATGCCTTTATCACCGAAAAGAGATGAACACGACAGTGATCGAAGTGGCTTTTTACTTTTTGGAGCATACTTTTGAGCAGGAAAAGTGCTGCTTTGGCGCAGCTATAGGTGTTTCAGGAGCATTGTTGAAGCATCTCCTAAATATAGTTCTAATGAAATATATTTACAGACAACAATCAGTGTAAATTTCATGTAGCAAACAGTGGCAGGTTGTCCGAATGGTGATGTGGATGAAGCAGTAGCTAATCGTTATCATATAAAAGCAATGGAAAGTGAGCTTGTGGCCCCAAAGGTGGCAACAAGCGCAGACGCCGCATTCGAGGCGCGTTTCGAGGCCCGTATCTGACGCCCGATTTGCCGCCATGGGAAACCAAATATCAGTAATGGTCACCGCCATGTTCAAATTGCAGAGACAATCCTTGTGAGGATAGTCCAACAAATTTCGCATTCCTCGCGCCCCTCGGGTTGTACTGGCAGTCCCTACAAGGACGTATCTGGCCGCTCAGTTAAAACTTCTAGACGCAACATCGAGATAGATGATGATGACATCTGCTCGCTCTACGGTGTTGAGGACCCCTCTCTCGCTGCGAATGCTCGCTCTGGAGCAGCATCACTAGAATCTCGCCTCAGTCTAACTCACCATGGCGAGCAGCCCTAAGGTCAGGCGCTTCCCGAAAACCAATTCGGCCATCACCATTAACTTTGTCCAGTATAATTGTCGAGGCTTTCGGTCCCGCTCGCATCATTGACTTTTCCTATCAACTCTCGACTCGCTTCTGGTTGTGGTTGCCCTCCAGGAGCCAGGGAGTGGCGCCACCCTTACAAATTACATCACTTTCCAGCAGGACCCTTCTTCCTGCGTCTGTGTGCATAAAAATTATACAGCTAACCTTGTCAACTTGGAACTTCAAACTATTTATTCCTACGTGATGGTGAAACTTCTTCCGCTCAAGAAACAAGATGTGCCACTCCATGTACTTGACATATATTGTTCTCCCAGACTTAAAAATGTAACGTTCACAGCACTCTTCAGTCGCGCCCTGAAGGCTGCCGGCAGGTATCCCCTGGTGATAGTGGGCGATTTCAACACCCACAGCACACTCTGGGGATATGTGCGTGATGAGAAGCAAGGGTACAAGCTAGCGTAACTTGTGTCCACGCTGGGCCTCACTCTTCACACTGACCCTGCACATACAACGCGGGTAGGTACCGTACAAACCGGACTATAGGTCGAGTGGGAATATAGGTCGACTCCCCAAGTTCAGGTTACCGAAAAAGAAAAAAAAAAAAGAAAAACTCAAAATTGCCGAACGACATTTATTTGCCGAACGGCAAATTGGGTGCACCGCACCCCGATCGTTGGAGCTCCCCTCAACCACCATCGCAACTGTTCCTATTCGTCAGACGAAGCGCCACTGTGTTCTGAAAACGATAGTTTGTCGCTGGCCACCTCCCACAGTGCGTTGTCTTCCATGCCATACAGCGGGTAGTTGATAGAACATTTCTTAAAAGCATTTTCTACCATGGAATCTGGCAAGGAATGCCAGGCGGAAAGCACCAGCCACAAACAGTCGCAAGCAGAGGCCGCTGTAGGCGGCCCGTCGGTGTCTGGGTTGTCGGCGGACATCCACTTTTGGTACTCCAGCCGCACTCGGGCCTTGAACGGCTTCTTTAGCACAACGTCGGTCGGTTGGAGGGTGGACGTCATACCACCTGGTATCACGGCGAGGTCCGATTTTCCATCGCCCAGGGACGCTTCACAGCGTCGGTTAAGTGACCACAAAACGCATCTAACACCAGCATGCTGGAAAGACGCAGCAGTGCACCTCGGTGACGGTTCCAGACTACTCATATCCATTCGAGCATCATGGTCTTGTCCATGTACTATCCCTTTTTGTTGACGCGAACGACAACACTGGGCGGGAGCACTTCCTTTGGCATTGTCTTACGTTTGAAAATGATGAAGGGCGGTACCTTTCTACCATCTGCCATGCATGCCAGCATGAAGGTGAAGCGCGAGTGCTCATTGCCAGTAAACAACAGCTTCATATCCTTGGCGCCACTTTGCATGATCATGGTCGATGAAGGCATGTCAAACCACACAGGGGTCTCATCAGCCTTGTCAATCTGCCCTATCATGTAGTTGTTCTGCTCCCGAAGCCGCTTCACGAAGCCCTGAAAGTTTATAAGCTTGTACTCGAACTCGTCCGGAAACTTCTGACAGATGGATGTGCGCCACCGGAAAGAAAATCTTTTGCGTCTCATGAATCGACGCACCCAAGAGTTTGGTGCAGGAAACTCTTCTCTCGTGAGCCCAGCTTCTCGAGCTAGTTCCACAGCTTTCTTGCGAATGGTATCCATGGTCACTGGCGGCGAGCATGCATGAACTTCCCACAGAAAGTTCCCTAGCGTATTCTTCAGCTGCGGATGAACCGCACTTCCCCCACGAAATGACATTTTCCGAGGATTGCAGACCTGCAGCTTCCCTTTCTGCACCCTTCAATAGCGCTCGCTTTTTTCTGATACACCAACGGGGCACTGAGCAACCATATTCCCAATCGCTTCTGCGAACTCAACAACCTTTAGTTTCAACGCAGCTGAGTACTGCCTTCTTGTACCACTACTCGTATTCAGTAAACGAAAAAAAGACCACTAAAAATGAAACACAATGTCAAGCGGAGCGAGAACTTAGAACAGATCGGAGGCAAATCACGAACACAAAAAAACAGACAAGAGAAAAAAAAACAACCTGCTATTGGATTTAAATGTGAATATGGCCGTATCCAGCTTCTCACGCACATGCAAGCCACATGTTGTCAGACAGCGGTGCACTGTCCGCTAGACACCGCTATATAGAACGAGGGGCGACTTTAGCTCATTGTTTTATTGAAATTATCTCGACTTATATTCCTGTTTATACGGTAACTCCAAGGCAGTATTTGCCCTTGATTTGAAGGGGACTTTTAACAACGTCACACATGACATAATACTGGAGCACCTTTCCCAAACTAACTGTGGACACAACATTTTTCAATACATTCGACAATTCCTCTCTGACCGACAGTCATACCATTCGAATACAAGATGAAGAACACGGCCCATATCAATTAGGTATGAGAGGCACACCATAGGGTGCGGTCCTCTCAATCCTACATTTTAATCTGGCTATGATGAAACACCCGGCTCAGCTGGATAATGTTGAAGGCATACAGCACGTGCTGTATGCCGACGATATTGCCGTACGGGCTAAACACGGATTGGTAGGAGACATAGAAGCCAACCTGCAGCAAGCGGCGGAGATCGTGGACGCCTACGCCCGCCGCTGCAGCCTTCAATGCTCCCCAACCAAATCTGACTTAGTGCACATCCGCCCCTTGGCTAAGTGCACTACAAAAATTGAACTGTCCTTACGAAGCGGACCCATCCCAGAACACGACGAGATCAGAGTACTGGGTCTGTTCATTGATAAACATCACCGAGTCGATACAATATTGACCGAATTGCGTAAGGTGGGGGACCAGGTGGGTCGTATAGTCTGCCGGGTTCCCAACAAGCGCGGGGGGTTACGTTGTAAGGATGCCTTGCGGCTGGCGCATGCATTTGTAACCAGTCGAGTCCTTTACTCGGCTTTTTACCTCCACTTGCACAAGTTTGACGAGAACGCCTATGAGGTGATTCTCAGGAAGATGTACAAGCGTGCTCTCAATCTCCCAATAACCACGTCCAACGAGCGCCTTATGGGCCTGGGGATAGTAAACACTTTTGCAAAGCTCCGGGAGGCGCACTTGACCCACCAATACACGAGACTTTCGAACACTCTGTCGGGTCGCCGCCTATTAGCTCAACTACATATCCACCACCCAACAGAGAGAGAAGAGCGCGTAGGTATCCCAGAAGTCTGAAGATATGCCCTGCAAGTGCGCCTTCTTTTGGCCAACACGACGCGTGACGACCACAGTGGCAGGCGCCTTGCGTGGGCAGAGGCACTAGTCCGCCACTATGGGAACAAACATGTCATATTTTACGTGGACGCCTCCAGCCCTCACCATGGGGGGTGGTACACGGCTGCAGTCGTCCTCCAAAACATTGCGGTGAATGGTCTTGCATTCAGAGCACAGGACATTTTACATGCGAAGGAAGTCGCCACTGCTCTAGCTGCCGCAGACCAGGACTCGCGCGTCATCATTACGGACTCGAGAGGGGCCTGCAGAAATATTCAACGCAGGTACGTCCCATACTTGGCGTACTGCATATTACAAAATAGTAATTACGTCGGGGCGCCCGCGTCCCGAAGGATCATATAGGCTCCAGCTCACACGGGCCTCGAAGGCAATGAAACGGCAGACGCCACTGCCCGCGCGCTCACTCTCCGGATAACGCTTTCAGACCTTTCCGGAATAGATCCCGAAACTAATCTGGCCTTAACATTTCAAGAAATAACTGAATTCTATCGATTCGGCCATGCAATTTATTATAAACCCTGTAAGGGTCTTACAAAGGCAGAAGAATGCTTAGTCTTCCACCTTTACACCAAAACACTGCTGTACCCACCAGTTGTCAAATATTTCGATCCTGCCTGTACAGGAAAATGCCGGCACTGTGCGAAGAAGTCATCCGACATCTTCCACGTCGTGTGAGCATGCCAGCCAACTCTGCGCCTCACCCGAAACCAAACCCAACCCGGGAAAACTGAGAGGCAGCCCTGCTCAGCTGTTTCGACCTGGCAAGCCAGAAGGGCCTGGTGAACCGAGCTTGAGTCGCGTTGGATGCCAATGGACTTCTGTAACCAGGAGCCCACCTAGTGTGTGTGAGGGGTGGCCCGCATAGGGCCATCTCCCTCCTGCTTCCTGTGTGTGTGTGTGTGTGTGTGTGTGTGTGTGTGTGTGTGTGTGTGTGTGTATGTATGTATATATATATATATATATATATATATATATATATATATATATATATATATATATATATATATATATATATATATATATATAAAGATAATAAAGTTTTCTTTTTTCTCTCTTCTGCTCATTTTAACATTTCACTATATTAGCCTGCATGTCTAACTGAGAAAAAAAGACAGCCAGATGAGGTATATGCTCGTTATGCCAATTGTTGTCACACATATGAGATCAGAGCCAATAATTCTGCACCCTAGTAACACAGTGCGACGATAGTATGCAGATTCTCTTCAGTTTTTTTCGGGCTTATGAGTCAGTCAAACAGTAAATCTTCGTCATTCTTTAGGCATGGCCGTGTAGGCGTGGTGCGGGATCGCGCGGTGGTCCAGGGATCCCAAAGGGTCCAAACACACTTGCTCTAATAAAGTTTTTCTGTCTGTCTGTCGGAGCAGGTTTGGAGCAATTACTAACAAAAATTACTGTTCGGAGCAGCATGGAGCAGCATTTCTTTTTTGGAGCAATTGGAGCAGCACTTCCATCACTGACACGACTGACAAGGCCACTTAGAGCACATGTAGAAGTGATAAAGAAAAACCCGAAGCGTCGCTTATCGCATCTTCCGAAGAAAAGAAAACTAAAAAAAAATTCCTTGCGTTTCCTTTTCAGCTCCCTCGCTGTCTTGGGTTTTCCGCGTGCATGCTTCCTGCCCCGCAACTCCCACTCTGCCTCGCTGACCTTGCACTCCAGTGTTACCCTCGCCTCTGCGCTTGTAAACCTGCAGCGTCGGCGTTTCAACAAAAAGAAAAGTCGCCTTGTTTTTTTTTCCTTTGCACCGTCACGCATTTTCCGAGAAGCAAGGAGTCCATTCGCTGTGTTGCCTGCCTGTGTACCGCTCCAGTGGTCGTGACAGATTTCAGAATATGAGTTCATAGTATTGAGGCATTGTTATATAACGTGGAACTAAGTTAGCACTTGGTGTTCTGAAAAGTTTAGTATTCTGAAGTATGTAGTAGTGAAATAATTTAGATTGAAACTATTACCAGATGACGCAGGATTTTTTAAAAGTTTGCTCATCTGAAAAGTTCATTAATGCGGCGTTCGTTCTATCGAGATTTCACTGTACATGAACCTCTAGCATTTCGTCTTCATTGAAAAGAGGCCGCTGCAGCCGGGATTAGATCCTACAACCTGGTTAGCAGTTCACCACCGTGATCACTAGACTGGTGTGGCAGATAACCCTCAAATGCATCATGAGCTGTAGTGATGCTCTACAATCACACCTCACAACGGAAGGTAAAATGTGGCTTTTACAACTTAATTAGAGATATATTTATTTATATATAAATGTAGATAGTGCAATTCTCGATGGCCAGCAGCGGCACTCACCCTTCGCTCTTTGGGTATGCGACCTTCGGCCTCGAGTCGTGCCCTGGCCTGTCGCCGCTTCAGGATGCGATGGTACTGCTTGGCGTTGACATACAGTGGTTCCTCCTCCACCACGTCAGCAGGGACGGCGGTGGCAGTAGCGGTAGCTCCTGGCAAAGGGATGCGCTGTACCGCCTGCAGGGTTGCTCCCGCGTTTGCTGCCTGAGCAGCCGCCACGGCGTTGTGGTTGGGCATCACCTGTTGGAACTTCTCTGGTGTAAGTGTCATATATTACACCTTCAGCCAGGTGGTTTATTGAAACATATACTGTGTATGATAGTACAGGCTCTATGGGTTTTGCCTCACAAACACTGTTTCCATCGAAATGCAGGGATAGTGCTCTGTGAAATTCCACAAAGTAGGCCGTCCATTTCAGCCTGTGCCGAAGTCGACCTGTTGTTAGACCTTTATTGGTTGGTATGTGCTAAGTGAACTGTACGCTAAGAGGGCGGACCACTTTGTGGCTTATAGCCCCCAAGGTGCTATAATTTGCTGAGAGCAATATATTTCAGAACTGTCGAAACACATGACAGGGGTCTTCAAACAGAAAAATAAGGCAACTTCTTCATAGTCTAGTAAAAGAAAAGGGACTGTAATTGGTGTCCAAGTTGACAAAGTAGAGAAGTTCATTCACGTAAGCCAAGTAGTCAAGAAAAATGACCAAATGCTGAATTATTGAAAGTATTAAGAAAATAATAAGTGTCTATTACATCAATACATTTTCATTTTCTTAATGAACGCATAAATCCAATACTTCTTAAAGTTATTTTGCACAGTTGAAGTGTAAGAGCCTTAATTTTTTACACTAGCGACTTCTTCGACAATGTGACCACCACTCAAGGCCCCCTTGTCTTAAGCATGTATGCCACATTATGCGCCGCCACCACCAGCCACACCATGAACACGTGACAACATTTTGAACTAAAACATGGCCGGCAGATGATTGTTCGTCCATCGTAAAATAGCAAGCCAGCTAGCTCAATGCTGAAATGCGGACTGCAGCTGATACTCAGCATCTTCAACAGTATTTACCATGTTTGAGTTTTGTGTTTGAGTTTTGTGCTCGCACTACCCCAATTCCAAACAAAGCTGGAATAAACCTGGCTGGTTAATGCACAGTCATGGATGGCAACCATGCCTGTATGAAGGCTTGCGCTCGTTTTGGTTGTTTGCAAACACCATTTCTTCCTCTTTACACCACACATTTACGGTGCTTTGTGCTTGGCACACTCCCGAGGATTTTCTGAATTTACAGAGTTGCGGCCAAATATGACCAAATAAGCGAACGTTTGATATCATTAAACAACACACATTTTTTCAGCACCACAGAACACGTCTGACTTTTCGAATAAGGAGGTTTTTAGTGAACAAGCTTTTACTGTGCTGCATATGAATGATAAGCCATAATTTATAGTAAGTGATGAGATCAGTACAAGAGGAAGAAAAAAGTCAAGGAAGGCACGTCGCTTTGCAGAGTCTGTTGCAAAATACTTAGTCGTCATTTTTCGCGTCTCTCTGTTGTTAGCGGAATTGCCAAATGACTGGAAGTCGGCACGAATTGTTCCTATATTCAAGAAAGGTGACCGTCTAGTACTACAAAATTATCGACCGATCTCCTTAACATCATCATGCTGTAAGCTTATCGAACACATAATAGCTCATAAATTAAATGAATTCTAAGAAGAAAGTTCAGTTTTAACAAATCATCAACATGGGTTTCGAAAAGGATTTTCTACTACAACACAATTGGTTACTATCGGTCATACCTTTGCAGCTTGTCTTGATGCTAATGGCCAAATTGATGTAATACTCTTAGACTACAGTAAAGCATTCGACACAGTTCCACACGATAAACTAATTTTAAAGCTTCAGTTAGTTGGCATACCAGAATTATTTATCTCCTGGATCTCAGCTTATCTACTCAATTGCAACCAATATGTTCAGGTAGGAGAAAAATATTCGGACTGCCTTCCGGTGACTTCTGGCGTTCCGCAGGGGAGCGTACTAGGCCCCCTTCTGTTTCTGGTCTACATTAATGACAATGTCGATGTAATTAGCACCCCAGTACAAATTTGTCTATTTGCTGACGATTGTGTTTTGTTTAGAGATGTAACCTGCATTAGTGACCAATGTGACCTTAATACTAACTTAGGCAATGTATCAAAATGGTGTGAACAATGGGGAATGCTTCTTAATGCAAACAAATGTGTGTATCTCCCCATAACGCACAAAAAAGTCCCATTAGACTACACATACAATTTAGCTGAAGCACCTTTACTTAAAGTAGCCTCTTATAAATACTTAGGCTTAACGTTAACAAGAACCTTATCCTGGAGTTTGCGCATAAATAACATCTGCTCTGCCGCTTTCCGTAAATTATGCCTTCTCCGCCACAAGCTCAGGACTGCTCCGCCTAGTGTTCCTCTCCTCTCCTACTTTTCCTTAACTAGGCCTAAACTTGAGTACGCCTCCATAGTTTGAGATTCCCACACAAAAATTAACGTTCAAAACCTAGAAAGAATTCAAAGAAAAGCAGTACGATTCATTTATAATAAATTTATGTCAACCGACTCCCCCACTGCATTACTAACGGAAAATGGTATAGAACTCCTACAAAGTCGAAGAAAAAGAAGTCGGCTACAGTTCCTTTCAGACATAGTAAACCACAGGCTATCCTTAGACACCGCAGCATACGTATCCCCCTTGTTAAGCAGACCCACTCGGCAACACTATCCTCATTCCCTAATGCCAATCTTCGCAAGGACTGATACTTTTCGGTACTCCTTCTTCCCACAAACAATAGATGATTGGAATAAACTAACCGAAGCATTTCCTCAACGCCCTTGACCATTTGTGTAAATACTATTCTTCCATGACTTCCTTAGAATTGTATTATCACCTTGTAGTTCAATTGTGACTTTTTTTTTTTAAAGTCATAACCCCTCTGTCTTATATGCAAAGAAATTGCGTAAAAAACGTTTTGCAACCTTGTTTCATTCTGTTATTTAGTGTGTTTCATGTATGCTCACCCTGCTTGGATTTTTGTCTGCAGTATTCTATAAATAAATAAATAAATAAGTCCAGCAGTCATTTGAGCAGAGCGACGAAATTAAGAAATCTGCAGGCTCGTGACAAGACCTACACACGCGGGACAGAGGAGACAACCACTTGCATTTCAGCTTCAATATGAATGAACGTACACAAATCTGGGAAGCTTTCTAGCATCAAGCCTCGAAGAAGCTATAAAGTGCACATCAGGCAAAAGCCACCCACCATGACAATGTTTCCACCTCCCACAGAGGATGGCAGGGTTATGGCTTGTGGAGCCTGTGCTGCCTGTACCACTTGTGGTGCTCCCGCAGATGCAACTTGTGGAATCTGGATTATACCTGAAAGCAGAACAAAGAGATGATTATCTTCACACCTGTTTCTCTGCAACTCAGCAGCAGCAGCAGCCAGACTACACTGACCACATGCGATACACACCTCCAGGCCCCTGTACAAAGTTTGTGCCATCAACTGTGACAGGCTGGTACACAAGCGTTTGGCCATCTGACGTTTGCAGAATCTGCCCTTGCTGGGGTTGCTGAATGATAATCTGTTGGAAGAATAAGACGATGGTAAATAAGAAGAAAGGGTCTTGTATGAAGATGCTGAAAGTGAAGGCAACTGGTTAAAATATGCACAAATAATTTCCAAGCATTGCGCTTCCTAACCTCACCTATGTGGTGACAGTGGCACGAATTGGGCTTATACACTGATGTTGCGGCCACACTACATTTGAAAAGTGCATAGCTACACATCACACTTCCAAGAAATGTCAAGTTACAAAAGTTACATGAAATGTTGTTGTGTCCTTCCTTAGAATTGTTCACCCAACAAGGCTGCCACTTTGCACTCATTATTTTCTCACTCAGTCATAAAAATGCACGGTATAGTTTGCAGGGAGCAACTATGTTACTCTGGTCAAGCGTGACAGATTATTGAAGCGAACTGTCAAACATGCAGGGCTTTCTACAAAGTATTAGGACTGACTTTTCACCGCCAAAAACATGAAGGAGGGAGATGTCACTGCACTAATCAGGTGGCAAGGTGTCTTAGCTACCAGCACACCAATCGCCAGTTGTCTTATAGCATTCCTGGAGTGTATACGGAGTTTAAAGTGAACCCCGTTCTGATGCCTTTTCATCTAGACAATATATCATTTATTATTAGAGCAACATTGCGCAGTGAAGTTCAGCTTTAAACTGGTAAAACTGTGAGTGAGACCCACACCATGATCGCTGCTTTTATGGTAGTGATGTCATGGGCCAATCAAGTGTTTGAGTGGAACAAATTGTTTCGGACGGTAAAGAGAGCAAATTGATGATCAGCAACAGTCTGGACGCCCTTCAATGGCAAAAAGTCGCAACAATGTGCCTAGCCACACCATGTTTGCTGTCGTAGGGTTTCTGACCAAACATAGCACCACACAGCTTTCCAAGCTACCCAACAGCCTGAACGCTGCTAGTTTCTCCCTCTTTCCCAGATTTAAAAGGATCATCCAAAAACAGCACCACGGCACAGTCCAGACTATTCAAGAGGTCGTAACGAGGGAGCTAAAAAGCATTTCAGTTTCTGCGTTCTGAGGAGCATTTGCTGATTGGCACAGTTTCTGGAAACACTGTTTCGACATATTTCAAAAACTATCAAGTTGATGTGCCCAAATTGCCAGTAGACATTTTTCTAAGGTAGTTAGTCCTACTACTTTCCGAACAAACCCTGTAAAGTTAACATGCTCTTATGTCTGAGGACTCACTCGCATTGGCAACTCGCAGAGATCGGGTAACAAAACAAAGTCAGACAGGTCAAATAAAAACCAATTTTTGACAGTCTTTTGCTGCTTATTTTTTTTTAGTCGTTCGACTCACAAATATGCTCAGCACACAGCAGAAGCACAAGCAGGATCCGCTAACATTTTCTTCACGCTCCAGCGGCACTGTGGGCCCACGAGAACAGCCCTAATCACAAGCATTTTGGTGTGGTGACAGGCAAGTCTCATTAGCTGACACCACTCTGGCTCGCCAAATACAGAACATTTTTGCAACCTCTGTTAACTACCAATGTAAACGCACCAGGAATGGCACGGCCGTAAAATGTGCGCAGAAAATGCCACAAGAGACGCAACAGCAATTCACTGCAACAAGACGTACATACCTGCTGCCCCTGCTGCCCTTGGAGCTGGCCGATAGGGATCACTTGAAGCTGCAGTAAGAATAAAGAAATTAACTTAATTTGCTTCACACTTTGTTAGCTGCTTCTCAGTTAAGAAGGGTCAACAATGCGCTTGTGACATCAAACATATTCCCCTTTGTGTAAGCACTCTTTTTCATCATGCTGTATTCATCACCTACCCACAGTGCAGTAGTGAAAGCAATCTGCTGAAATTACTGCTACTTTTATGCCATGCCTTTGCAATACACCTGCAAACCACACACGAAAATGAAGTCAAGTGTCCTCAACCACGCGATTTTTAAGAGTGGAGCTGTTGAGGTTCAACACTGAACCATTGGGAGCGCACATAAAAGCTCAGCCCAGCTGGGCGAGGGCAGAGTGAAGAGAATGAGGAGGTATAGCATAGTATAGCAAGAAAATAGCTGAGAGAGGTGAGAGAGAAAGCATAGTACAATCAAGCAAGGCGAGTGAAAAAGGGGAAAGGGAGCAAGGTGCAGATGATGTGGGCGAAAGAGAGTGAATGAGAAGTGTGCTCTGGGCACAGGCATTCGGGGAGTGGTGAGGATGAGAAAGGGAAAGCATGCACTGAGCTACAGGTGGGCACAGCCGAGGAGAGAGAGATGGTGGCTGCACAGCGCTTTCCAGGGATAAAATGCGGGGCGGCGGTCTACAGAGCAGGGTAAAAGTGTGTACTGTCCGTGCACAACATTTCGACATTTGGTAACGAGTATGAAGAAGCAATTTTGTCTGGGAGAAAAAGCGGTGTGGCTAGGAAAACAGTGGGAAGCCATTCCAGCAAGGGCCTGACAACGACATGCCGATCCTAGGTTCTGTACAAAGGAAGCCGGGGCTAAGTGAGAGCGAAGAGCCCAAGACAGCAAATTTCAATCTAAGGAGGTGGCATTGCAACTACACTACGACAAAGGCTTATCAGGAGGAAAATCGCTTGGCCACCCATCACTGAAGGGAATCTGATCATGATTTGTGACTCCTGAAAAACTTGAGAAAGAGTGGCTAATGTCAGAGCCGACAAATGTTTTAGTGACATCACATCGTTATGGCATTATGTGGCATCTCATTGTTATCGCATTACCACACCTAAAATAGTACTTAGTAAAAGAGACTGAACCGAAGAAGAAGCCACCAGCTTTTCTGTTTCGTCAGTCTTCACGACGTTAAGCCTGTAAAGCAGTCCCAAATTTTTTGTCATAAATCTCATAGACAAAATGGGGTCTACAAGAGGTTTTAAGCTGGCCAAGTAATTTATATTGTCTAAAGTAGGTAATTTTATGCAAGATGAAACAGTGATGCAGAACATGACACTATAAGAAAAGCCTGAGTTGACCACATTACCTGGGGTATTTGCTGGCCTGGCTGGTTTTGTATTTGAATAGCAGCAGTCTGGCCATTTGGCAATGTCTGCACCATGATCTGCTGGCCACCAGCTTGCAGCAGCTGGGCCTGGCCATTGCCTTGGGAGACTTGCAGCACCTGGGCAGTAAAGAGTGACATTTACTTGTTAAGCTGCATACATGCACAAGTCGGGCACAGTTTTTTTAATTAATGATATCAATTTCATATTGTCACACACCTACAGGTCAGGCAACAGGTCTTCCTAAGAAAACAAAGTGCTTCTGCACTCGATAACATTACCTGAAAATTCAAAATTCTCACATGACTTTAACAGTTGTGTAATAACTGAAAATATGTGGTGCATAGACAAAGTGGGGTCTACCAGAGGTTTTAAGCTAGCCAAGTTACAAGAGCTCTGATTTATGCTTGGCAATGTAAATTCTCACACTGTTACCCATGTCACAGCATGTAGCACGTTTATAAAAGATAACAGCACAAAATTCCATGCTCTTAGTATACAGATGTGTGCAGCATCAGCTATACGCTCACACATTAAAGAAAAAACAACCACTGCTTTTCCCTCTAGTGCCTCGAAGATTCAAACAGGCACCTATAATTTCACTAGTGGAGCAGCTAAAGTGTGAACAAGTATACAAACTTGCAGACACAAGATTACCCACTATGCTACGAGCTACATTTCACATTACAATTCAATGTGCTGTTATAGTCATGGCACTATGCTGCTAAGTTTGAGGCTGTGGTACAATACTGGCCACTGGAGCTACCAGCGGGGCTGAAATGCAAGAAGAGCCATGCAATTCGATTTAGCTGAACATCAGAAGGAGTGCAGACAATGAAAACTGGTATCTACCGGTCACCTACCACAGCATGCTTTATAATGTGGTCATGATTTTGATATACTAAACCCCACAATTGATTTTTTTCTACTATACTGTGCTAAATAACGAATTAAATGCATTGCTGCTTTGCCATCTGCTGCAGCTCTTCACAAGGAACATTTTTAAAATGTCACACAAACAGCAACACAGCATCGACATATCTTCTCTGCATTGCACAACACGATGCAGATTAATGAGGCGCAGGCTATATCGAATGGGAAGCTAAAAAGTGAGAAAGGACAAACGTTGAAAAATCACAATCGTACTGAGGCATCACACCACAGCATTCGAAGCTCCAAGTGAGGGCAATGTATGGCACAAGCATTTAACACATACACATCAAAACTTTTTTTGCAGGTGAGTTGGTTTGTCTTCGAATAAGGAAATGCCAGCATAAACCCACAAAAGAGGCAACACGTACTACACACGAGTGCTGGCAGACAACTGGGCCAATAAAGCACATTTTTAGTCAGCGCCCATATGTATGTGTCATCTCTCTTGCGGAGTGTCCGTTTGCACTGGTACGCCAGTACTTCCTTAGTCCATCACATCCACAACAGCAACAATCATTGGCAGCCTCACCTGTGGCTGTGCAGTGGCAACGTGGGCAATGGGTGTCCCCGAGAGGGACTGCATGACGGCCACCTGCTGCTGCTGCTGCTGGTCAGTGGCGGCCACAGCCAGAGGCTGCCCCTGCGAGGGACTTGCCCCGACCGAGCTCACCACCTGGTACTGCTCCATCTGCATGGCTGCCCCTTTGCCCGTCAAGCCAGGCTGCTCTTTGTGGCCCACCTACACAGCTGCAAGTTCGTAAAAGCACGATTAACATACATGCCTGACACTGTCACACATTTAACAGTATGAGATACATACATGTAGCATTAAGGAGGTCAGGCACCACCCCGCAGGCTTGGCAAGAACACTCATTCGGAGGCTAGCAGATGCTGCTATAAACATCTCAGCCAAACCTTGCAGTTGTGCACAGCAAGGAGGGCTAACAAGTGTAGCGCAAATCTATTATTTTCTCAAGCGCTCCCTATTCACACAGAGGCCCATGCTCACTCAGTTTGAAAATGCTGGTGCCCACTGTTTGACGTCGAACAGCAGCTGGCATGCTGTATGCCAATAGTCAACATAAATCAACTACAGCGTTTGGATCAGATTCATTTCTTGCTACGGACTGCCACCCCACAACGGAACAGCATTTCATAGTCGCTGACATATCTTCCTTCCCCCGTGTCATCTCTCTCTGCTTAGCTCCCACAGCACACGTTGGGATGAGAGAACAGAGAAAACACTCAAAGCATGCAACAATACTCTGCCTCTTTACTTGTTCTTGACATATTTGAAAAATTTATAGTGGCAGTCGATTCATGAGGCAATAAACCACAATACTGAAGACATTGGATGATTACCTCGAAAAGTGGTTCATGGCCCCTTTAAAACATTATGAACCATGGGACCAAATAAAATGTCCAATTTGTGGACAGTCTGCGAGTGTTTTAGCTTCTCCACTATTATGGAACAATGCATATAATGAAGTCACTTACGGGCAGTGCTACGTTCATAATGAGGGTTTACAGCAGTAAAAGTTGAAAATTCTAAAACCATGGCGGTGTGGCCAGGGGCAGGAATTATTTTTAAGATTCTACGGTTCATTTGATGCTACCCCTAATATGTGGCCCAATGTTAATCAAAGCACCATAGCCTGCAGCTCAGTTTTCCGGATTCTCTACGTGCAAATGCCAACAGAAGTTCTGTTGATGTTTCACAAATCTGTAAGCATGAGTGTGAGTCATCTGCCATAAAACTGACAAAATTTTACTCTTAACAGAGGAGAAACTTACACAAGATCGAGAACTTTATGGAAAAATATGGCATAAAATTTATCTAATGATCAAAACCAGCTGCACCTACTGTTATGCATAAAGTTAAACGTAGGTCTTCACCTTCAAATCGCTTTTTTTTTAATAAATTGAATCATACTGGAGACCCTGTCGTGGATTCTGAGGTGCACTTCACTTGCGTGCCCAACTGATCAGTTGACTATAGAAAAGCTCAAGGCCCCTTCACACGGATGCTAGGTACCTGGCCTTGTACATTGAAATAGTGAAGAGTGCTGAAATTATGTTTGTACACTTAATCAATAGACTTGCCATGTAAATAGTGACCAACTCAACAAATAATGTTTTATGTGAGTGTGCTTAATAAAGGGAAATTAGAGTGGAACAGTGAATTCATTTAGACTGATAAATAATGCAACTCTAGGGTAATTATTTCACCACCATAGGTTTATTAATAGATGAGAGGATGAATGTCAAAAGCTTCACTTTTAAATCTCCAATGGCAAAATTATGAATTTCTAAGTGTTTTTTTTTAATATTTTGGCCACACTGGCTCAACAAAATTGTCGCTGAAGACAGTCTACTTTATATTTACTGATTGGGAACTACATAGGCCCTAGTGTACACCATTGAAATCTATAACGTCACAGTGACTGGTGTGAGAACTTCCAAGGCGGCATTTTCTTTTCACTCACTTAGCAGTCCCCGTCTCGCAGCAAGTGGGGTTTTTATGGTATCATGAAGGAGTAATTGTCTAAAACAAGAAGTCAAGGGTCTCTTCAGATAACCACCAGGGTTCATCAAGATTTCCTTGTTTTCTGCCTTCCAACATTCCCCTAGGACCTTTCCCCTCTGTCTCATTCCCAGCAGAGTAGCATGTCTCATTCCCAGCAGAGTAGCATGTATGTGAACATATGCTGGATAACAACTCTGCTTTTAAACAATACAATACCATATGTTTCGTTGATGAAAAAAGAAAAACACTTGATGGGGTGTTCCTACTCCCGTTACAGCAGGCAGTAGCACGGCACAACAAATGTTCTCGTTGAGACACATAGAAAATTTCGTTCAATCTACAATGAGTGCAGTAATAATCAGAAAAAAAGAAAGTAATATAAAGCACTCATTCTCTCTCGTGCTTACAAAGAAAAAAAAATAAGAGTAAGCAGCACATCTCGGTAATTACCAAATAAGTGTACCTAATTATTATATTTGTAGAGGAGCATATGCACCAACGTGCTTCACCCACCAATGGGTATAATCAGCAAGACACACCTACTGAAACAGGAATATGCTCGAAAGGGCCCTTCAACATTTTTTGGTAGACCGAATTACAACCATACATATTTGGCCATTTCACAGCTCTTTGTACTGCTGTGCGAGATCTACAGCTATAAATTAAACTGCCAGCAGCCACATATTGCATTTTACACACCGATGAACAACTTCACAAGCAATGCACGTGCTACTTTATGATGGAGTGCGAAATGTCACTGTTCACGCACTTAAAACATTGTAAACAGTTAGAAATGGGTTTCTAACGCAGAACGTGACACATGCCGTACTTGCCTGATTGATGGGCACGTTATTTGCAACGCTTCACGCTGCATAGTTCTGCTAGGAACGTCACATGCAAGCACCTTCAGAATGCACAGCTTGCTTAAGTATTTGCGAATGTGGTGGCCGGTTTATTTGCACAAAAAAAAAAACGAAAATGCATCACGAGGCTGGTGCCAAAGTGCGCCAGTACGAAACACCGGTATACACCGGGCACAGTTGTGAAAACGTAAATTCTGAGAATTTATTAAATGTGAGCATGACCAGCAGAAGGTTATTTTCATTCCTTCGAAGTGTTCAATCTGTATTCACCTTTCGTAGATGTTTCAAGCCACCTGTTGGCTGAAATGTGATGTCAACAAAAGCGTGCGTACAAACTGCTTTTCACAATACAAGCGTTCGCAAACTTTATTGGAGCAAAGCACACGGTAGAACGACGTATCAAGAATGCGGCGCGCACCGATGAGCATCAACAGCAGCAAGAATAAATACGACGCACGACGAACCAAGGCGCTCTTCAACACCGCTTGCAAAACCAGGTTGTGGTTCTTCCTCATCTGATTAGCACGTACAGGAAACATTCGCTTTTCGCACGATCACGCCTTAACTGTATCAAACAGATCCGCGATCCTCCATCTGCATTACAGCTGCGGCGCAAAGAGGTGTTATTTTACGACATAACGGGACACGGCAATACGCAGTACACGTCGCCTTTCCGAGATGGGTCACTTGTTTTTGTTATGTTTCAAAGCGCGCCACGACAATCGAAAGTGATCATCTGATTGCAGCACTTCTTCGCTCTTTGTCGGTCATAATTACGGATCGAGAAAAGGCTACCTTGTCCAACGAAAAGGCAAAGTGAACGGCTCCGTAAGTACACTGTAGTAGCCACGAAGCGAGAAAAAAAAAAAAATATCCCGGGAGAGGTAGGCCTAACAACATGCAAATGGATAAAAATCTCGCCACACCGATTCCGCAAAGTCTTCGTACGAACTCGGTGGTACAGCCTGGACTCGCGGGGTTGTTCACAAAAGACGGAAAATTAACACCGGGGGTTTTAATTCGGCGCAAGATAGTCCGATCGCACGCGAAAGCAAGCGGCACGGAAGCGAAAAAGTTGGCGGAAAGTGAGCGCATCGCATGCTTTGTCTAGACGGGGAAAACAACGCCATTAGCCCCGGGAGTTGAAACCGGGTTCCTCGGATCAAAATACTCGGTTCCACACGTGAAAACGTGGACCAAAACACAAACACGGCGCCAGCGAATCCCGAGCCAAGCACCCGCGGTCTAAATCGAAGATAATTTGCCAACTTACATTCGCAGAAGCGCACTGGTTCACCAGGAGGTTCTCTTGATTGGCTCCGGTTGACTACGGAAAACCTGCGCCAATGGACAACGAAATCATTCGTCATAAAAACAAGAAGCTTCGTCTTTATTGGCGACCAACCTGCCGGCTTCTGTCGTGCGCGGACAACAAAAATAAATATTTTAGCAATAAAAATAAGGTGATCAGCGCAGCATGAATTACCCTGAGCTTTGTATAATAAGATTTAGATTGCGCTCGCCACGGAAGAAGGGGCAACCAACGATTCAGGAAACAGCCAAGATGGCGCCGCACAGGTTGCGATTGTTGATCGCGTATAGCATGGCATAGAGGAAGGAAACAACTGGTTGATCGCAATAGTTTGCGGTTAGCTTGGTAGCGTTATCATGGGCTTCGTTACCGCCTTTACTTTTCAGCTGTGTACATACGTACTTACGTGCATACGTTATTGCTGAAAGCAGTTTGAAGCAGATGTACGTATGTCATTTGCGACGCGCTCCAAGATCTTATTCTTCAGGACGCTTTGCGGAATCGGCTTTCTTGCATAGAGCCTTCCGTAGCCGACACGGTAAAGAAACAGCAATAAAGTAGTACTGCTGTATTTCGTTCAAGAAAAAAAAATAGTAATCATTCACTGAAATCGTGCATATGTGCAAATGCATGCAGTTCCGCTATCGCCTGTTTTCCGGCGGTAGATGGCAACTTCTCAGACGTGAATTTTAAAGCGGTCCTTTACTCGTTCGTTTTGTTGTCTCGAGCGCCGTCATTATAACCAGGCTCTAAAATCGGCGCGACAGATACCAATATAGGAGAAATAAATTATTTTAAAGATACGGCCCAGCGTGACCATGTACCACGCAGGCGTAGCAGAGTGATGCGGCGGTACATGACCACCCCGACATTTTTCAATTCTAGAAATAATTATGCCCGTGCCACATTGCCCATTATCTTCGTCCTATGCAAGGTGGTATGCAAAAGTTGCACCCGTCAAAAAAAAAAAAAAAGACAAGCTCGCATTTAATACATATGCGTGTGCTTAGAACTGGCAATCCTCAGAGCTAGGTTTTCACAAATGCAGTTAGTGAACTGTGCCAGTTCTTACATAGTTCTTACAAATTAAGGACCACTCAGCGTGCGATGGAAGGAGAAAGAATCAGAGAACAAAACAGGAGTAGCCGATATACTAGTTGATAGGCAGAATAAATACACCTTGGCAGGCAACAGCATGAGGACAGATAATATATATTCAATGAATGGGTAGTAATAAATATCGAAATACGGGTAGCGCAGTCTATGGCTTAAGGTTACATAAAGCAATAACAACAACAAAAAAAACTGGCAGGCATAAAATAAAATAAAGTCGACTAGCACAGGAGCGAGCCAGTAAGCGATCATTTAAGAAAAGCCAATAAGCCTACGACAATAATGTACCTAAACCAACCACCATTGTACCCGATTCTTGCTGCAAGCTCAGAAATGCGACGCTTTTGCATTAGCGTAGAATGGTATTGCCAAGTTTGAAGTTCCTGCCTAATAGAGTGTAAAAGAATCGCCAAGCCTTTTGCTCAGACGAGTTAGCCGCTGTCTTAATAGCAAACTGGACCGCTGTCGCAGAGTTTAATAGAAAGAGACCAATGCTGCATTTATCAGGAGTCATGTTAAATTACTTATCTCACTGTTTTGCTATTACTTCAGGTCTGTGCACTCACTGTGTACTATGCTGCTAACATTAATCACAAATGCAGTTTTCAAGGTCGTAGTAGTAGTAGTTACAGTAAAATAAATGTACAAAGCAAGTAACAGACATTTTGCTTTATTTCAAACAGTACATTAACAAGTACTTACACGGCACTCTTGTGCACTGACAATAAATCACTATATAACAAACACAAAAAAAGCACAGCAGCACGGTGTGAAGCTAAGAACAGTAAAATATGCCTCCTCCATGCAAATACACAAACACAGCAAGCTCAAAAAAAAAAAAACAATTTTTTCTTGTTTTTGTGAAGTGACCACATGTACAAAATGTAAAACATTTGTTCTGCATATATCACAACAACATCCAAGTCTCAACTGCACATTGTTCCTAAATAGCTCGCCATTACATTACATTCGTCAACCTTGAGCCCTGACCTTGATCTACAGATCGACAACTTTCAGAGTTCTCAATTATGTTAACTTCATTGAAACTTCCTGTTGAAAAAAGTGATATGCCATGCTTGAGTGAGATCCGTCGTGTCCTTACAAATGACATCTGGCACACTGCGCACAAAGGCAAACATTTCAGCATAGAGCAGACGTGCACCAACAACTGTTGACGCAGGTGGAAGTATCAACACGGACATCTTGTGGCGCTACTTTGAAAACACCCGGCACTTGCTTGGAATAATTCTGCACCTTCATTGCTGCTTGCTTGGATGCGATCATGATAGGGCTATTTTGTACAATTTGGTTTGAAGCAAACGTTCAGCACAAGAAGAATGTTTCAGTGTCATAGCCAGTTGCAGCAGCGAAATATGTACTGCCATTTCTGCTGTTGCTACTCTTCGCACATCTCCGGCCATTGAAGCACGTGTTTTAAATTGTTACATTCTAATGTGCCGAAAAATCTTGCAAGAGTGTAAATATTATGCTAATACTGTGTTTGCAAATCAAATATTGACGTGTAACATGAAGAAAAATCATATGTGTGTGCACTTTTATGTGAAGTATTGCTGTAAGCAGACAGTTCTGAATCTTTCCTGCCACTTGTGCATCGGAAAAGCAAGCAAGTTCAGGTACACTCCCTATCACCAGTCGTTATAACTTGGCACTTGAAGCATCTAAAGCAATAGCTAATAAAAAAAATTTTGGCAAGGCCCTCTCTAACAAACACTTGGCCCCTGCCACATATAATAGTCTGCATGCTTATTTGGGGCATACAGACAAAGACGACTGGAGGTTGTAAACAACTAACGAAAAATGAGCAATGTGAACAATTAACATCTCTAGACAAATAAAAACAAGTATATGATAAAGTAATGACAAGTTCTAAGAACAACTAAACACAAAACCTAAAAACACTTGGGCGAAACAAAGCTGGAAAAGAGCTTATGAGCTAAAAATTCAAGCAGCAGACATCACGCATGTAGTGGCTGATATGAAGTTGCAATGGCCATAAGATGAAATTCAGAACCACACACAGTAGATGCGTTGCTTTGATTTTTTGGCAGCTCCTCTTTCTTTGAATTGTGGATCACTGCAGAGCACAGTAATAATGTACAAACAGCTACTACTATTGCTAATTTAGAACTAAGGTAAGCTGCTTTAACAGTTGAATTTTGCCTTTCACTGTTGAAATGAAAAATCCAATCCATGGGTTTAAACACCTAGTATAACCTTGAGATTACGCTAGACTGTTTGTACAAATCAAGAGCTCTGTGGCACGTATTAAGTTTAATTATAAACTTCAACTTACTACAGTTGCTTTTGTACAGTTTCTGCTAAAGGCAGGGTAGCATGCACCTGATACATTTCGAAAAAATATTCTCATGAAAGCAATGCACTATATATTTTGCTGCAACATATCACTGACTAGCAAATTGAACTAACCAGTCTCCACAGCAACTTGGAATCACTGTATGAGCAATGTTTCGAGACTTTGGGCCACACTTGGCCCAACTTGAACATGCAGCTTACTACAGCATTATCAGCAACCTTTGCTGCATGTTGCAAACTAGCATCACAGGTACAAACTGCAGCCTACTTGATTGCTGCCAAAACATGTGGCTTTCCATAGCTTTCTTTGAATCAAGTCACATATGCCACACACAGATTACATATCACATACAATTATCAGCCAAGTCTGTATTCCTTTGCACTAGAGGATCACCAAAGGCACGCGTTTGCTTGAAGAATCAACAATGATACTTGAAATACTTCGAAACTTCTTTCATACAATGTTACTGAAGTCCCAAGTGTGACACCGGTAAAAATGGTAAGCTGTGTGAAAAATGGCCCTGCAGTCTCAAAGAACAGCGATCTGCCAAGCCCTACTGCCTCTGATCAACAGAAGTGCACAAAGAGGGCAGCACCCTCGTTCAGCGAGACCCTGCACAGCAGTGCAGAGAAAAATATGTCGATGAATTTTCTGAATGGCAAACCTAGGCAAGTTCAGCCAGACTATATTTGTCTTTCTTGGTGAAATGCAATATAACCATCCCTCAATCACCAGTTACCCTGTAGCATATGGACATAAGGAGCAGCAAGCATTCTGCAAGAGTGCTGTAAGATATTAATGCTCGCATTTCATAAGTGAAAGACACATTTTCACATTGATACTATCAGCATTGTATTACTTACACCACTTTATAACCTATAAAAATTGAAATAATGTGGTGTCAGAGAAATTATGCAATAGTTATCAAAACATAGCTTGATGCATTTCGCTTATGGCATCATTTTAAACCAACTGCTTAGGTGCAATAAGCGCATAACCTCGATAAGCTGCACTGAAACAGAAAATTAAAAAGTAACATGTACATACATGCTAATACATTAAGCAAACAAGGCACGAATTCTGCCACTACTGCTGTGGTAATGAACTCGGATAACGAAAACACAAGGTCTAAGAAAGTAAGATACACCGGGAGTCACATTTATCAGCATGTCTTTGATTTGCCCGCCAGAAGAGTTCCTTGATGGCAGTGGCTTTCAAAAACCTCAGCGTGACACTAACACATACGATGATCAAATCGTCATCTCACTACTTTGAATACCAAAAACATTTCACCAGAGCAAGCTTCAAGCTGAGAAACAATTTGTGAAATGCAAGGGCATAAGAAGAAACCTAATCTCCATAATGATAAGAAAGATGGGCGCATAACTACTGTTACAAATTATGCGACTCACCCCGTTGTCCCGCGATACTTACTGGCGGCAGAAACAGATGGTCCATAAGCAAAATAGTGAGCTGTTTACAAGACCAAGCACAATACTAAAAGCATACCTCACTGTAATTGGCAATCTGTCGAGTTTTTCGCTGCTTCCGTAGGACTACAAATCTTCCCAAATAATGAACAAGCAAAAGGAAAAAGGTGCTAGCTACAACACAGACAGTAAAACTGCCCCTTATGTTCTCAAATGAAAATCGTGCTCACAGATATTAATTAAGGTAACATGTGTAGTTGGTGTCTTTTAGTTTTGTAGGTAATAATCTGCACTAACCATTCAGGATTTTGTCATGTAATGAAAGTAATGAATACTACTGTAGAAGTATACTTTGGCCCCATATACTTCCTGATTAAATGATGCTTAACATGCAACACCTAAATTTTGAAAACGATCTTCAACTGGTAGTGTTTAGAGCGTGTTCAACATGTGAGCCCACTCGTTAGTTCATACTGTCCGTTGAATCACTTTTCTAAAGTGAATTGTTTTTCACTACGTCTAGAGACTTGACTTGGTTTGTACACTTCACTCAGAACACAAAAAAGTTGCACGTGTAAATTCTTATAAACAACAAAAGCTAATCTTGTCACCCCAGCTTGATTTGTCAAAGATGTCTTGTGACATCTCTGACAAATCGAACCGGGGCGACTGGATGAACAATGATGGGATGAGATGGTGCACCAACGTGCATCTGTGTGATTTGTTGACGATGCCATTAAAATATTGGACCATAAGAAAGGTTCAACCATTCATCATTGCTTCACATAGCCGCTGTGTGGGGCATTATAATTAATGTGATGATCATTTTAGTTGAGTCTTTGATTTCCTTTTAAGTACAAAAATTTTGATTGTATGCTTCAGCTTAACACAACAATTAGTTTGCCAGAACATCATACCTTAACAGACAACTAAGACCAAAGAAAATTGTACATAAAAATTTGGCTTGTGCAAATATTTAAATGATTTGAATATTCAAATGAATATCACAGAATTTGAATTTGCTTCGATTTGAATTTAAATTTTCAGAAATTTTAAAGCATTCAAAACAAATAGATTTAAATAACCACATGTAACCCTTTGTAAAGACGGTATCACTTCAGTGTAGGATTGCTTTGCCGTGAAAGCACATATTTAAATGTGTGTTAAGTTTGCATGTAACATTTGTAAATGTGGTTTTGCTGCAGTAAAGGAGTGCTAAGCCATGAAGACACTTATCCGAAAAAACATCCACATTGCCACAAAGCCCCACTTCAAGGTTAAATGAACACAATACTCTCGCATCAGGCCATCATTTTGAAAGTTTATAAGCTTGTTATACTGGCTTATGCTCTAATTGTAGTAAATCTTAAAATGTAACACATTTTATGGGTTATCACTTGCCTTCTACCAAAAGTAAAATCCTGCTATTGTTCAAAGTTGTTTGCACTTTTTTTGAACCAATAAAAAGGAATTTGCACACGTCTTGTTTCAGTTCTCAAAAAACACTGTGCAGGTTGGTTGGGTCATCACAAATATGCCCATTGTTCTAAATAATATGTGATATAGGCTATTTGAATTCGATTAGGAATTATTTGACCAAAACCACTAATCGCTTCGAATTCACTCCGAACAAGCATAGTGAAAATTCATGTAAAATGAATCTCTACCAGATGTTTCCTTTCAAAAAGGTGCAAAATACAAGCCCTGATGATGCATTTCTCCAATTGAAAGCTTCAATCAGAAACTTTCCCTACTTGACAGCATTTACCCATTCAAGTATAATACCGTATTTACTCGCATAATCCTCGCACTTTTTTTGCCGGACACCTGATGCAAAGTTGGGGGGTGCGAGAATTACGCGGGGAAAACTTTCCACGAAAACGCAAAGAGCGAAAAAAAAAAAAGAAGTGGCCGCAAATCGGGATTCTCACACCAGCAACTTACAGCAAGCTTTACAAAGTACTAATTAGAACTTACCTCAACAATAAAAGCAGAGGTTCAACACAAGGCAAGATTTATTTGAGACATAAAAATTGGAAGCAAATAGTCGAGAATTAGAATACCATACGCGAAGCTTGTGGGCGTTGCGGGCGTAGCGGTAGCGGTCGGCGCTCAGCAGGAGCCCTCAAAAGGTAAGCGTAGGGCGTCAGTGTTGGGCTGATGGCTATTTAACAGAATCGTCCGCAGTTTCCTTCTGAAGAAATAAAGTTTACCATCAATCCCAGTTTTAGGCACACGGCAGGCCCAACGCGTCTTGGTGGCTTTCAGCTGCCGTCACCAGTAACGAACACAAAACTCGTAGGCTCCGAAAGGCCTACCGGCGGCCTTGTTGCCGTTGTTTAGCGTATGATCTATCACTTGCAACTTGAAGCAGCCGTGTGGCTTCAGTATCGCCCCATAACGTGCCAAGATTACCGACACAACATACTAAACACGCCGCAACGCGCACTGGCCACTTCGGCTTGGCTCGGATTGAATTGAATCTCCGTGCAATAGTACGCTTGATGCTTAAGAGATGGCGCCAAATAGCGTGCGCTATCATCATCAGTGGCTGGAACGAGCAGACGACATTATTGCGGCAGTTTTCGGGGGTGCGATAATTACTCGAGGAAAAAGTTTTTTCGTATTTTTCTTGGGCGATGTGGGGGGGGGGCGAGAATTATGCGAGTGCGAGGATGATGCGAGTAAATACGGTAGTCACTTTCGAAAATTGCACCTAGCGACAGGCAACCTGTCCATCACCGTTTGCCCAAGATAGCTGGGCAAACTGAATGCACTGACATCTGAAGATGTGGTTTCCCCCACCCAGAGGAGGCTTTGCAAATGAGGCACAGCAGTGCTAGCTTTTACATATTTACAGTGCAGCTTATATATAGTATATGGCACAAACAGCCAACCTCGTTTTCTAGAGTCATTCCCACGAATGCCACAACATTGAGCTTTTTAAGCCTCGCACAAAGACGTAATATTTTGTTTGTTTTTATTTTCTGTAAAAATAAACTTTCAGACACCTTCTTGCATAACCTGCGAAGCAACAGCTACAGTTGCTGTTAATAATTAAGGTTGGCATAATGTGATTCCTTTCACTTGATTTGATTCCTTGTGCTCGGGTACCACCTATAGCCGGCTCAATGTGGTGGCAATGAGTTGGTGGGTTAGTACACATGCCATTGGCAAAGTATGTTGAGAACTAGCACTTAAACAGAACCTCAACATCATGCCATCCCGCTTCTTTGCGTTATTTTCTGTGTGCTATGACCATCCTCGATTGATTAGTTGAGGCACTCCTTGCCCACGCTACGGCCAAGGTACTTTCGTAGCCTCAGCTTGCCACCTTTTTGCTTTGTGCCATTGGACGACACTGCTCCAACACCAGTGGCAGATGCTTCTGTACGTGTCTTCTCAAGTAGCTCCTCGTTGTTGAGGCCTGTGAGATAGACGCCATTATTGCCATTGCGACAGCGTGGGTCTCCAACGGGGTACTTGAGAGAAAATATCCACACGTCCAACGCATCCCGCATGTCCCAACTGGCGTAGGTGAAGTAACGGGTAAAGTCCATCACGCTGTACACCTGTAGATAAAGAATAAATAAATTAGAGAGGAGAAAACCCTTTCACATTTAGCATTTAGAAGTAGTACAATGCCTCAACATATTTGCACGGGCCGAAATAAACGAGGACAGATAAGAGGACCCAACACAGACCCCGGTAAAAGCTGGTAAAATGGGACATTGCGTGACCAATGCCCTTAAGAAGTTTTGCGGCCATTCCTTAAAATGCAACTTCATTGAGCTAACCACCGTCTGACAAGAGCAGGGTTTTCTGAACTCGTACTGGTGTCGGTAGCAGAAATAATGCTTAGGATCGTTAAACAGGTAGGTGAGGCGGCAGTAAGCTATGCTGCCAGCGATAACAAGCAGGTTCTGGTGCTCCACTAATTGCGTAACATTTCACATAGCTTGAAAAAGATAGGCGACAGAACAGACGGCAAGGTTGTGCTCTCCGCTCCGGAAAATCAATCAGTGCTCTGTAAGTGTTCTTTGCAACATGTGCAGTAGGCGTTGTTTATGTGATCTCACTGACTCACAGTAAGGAGTATGTTGGACAGACAGAGCTTGAACTAGCATTTGAAAGGAGCATTGTTCTCATGTTAACACAGCTATGCAAGGACACCTCAGCGTTCACTACAGTGATTGCGGCTTTAAAATGGACTTTAAAAAGTGCAAGGTTGTCGCGAAACATCGCGAGCAGCTCAAACGTGAAATACGTGGAACATAAAACAGATAGGTGATCTCTGTATAAGTATGACACCTGCTGCCCACACAAAAAGCTAAGTGCTTTTCTGGCCATAGAGCAACGGATCACGTGATTGCCCTGATGTGTGTAGTATCATGTTGATATATTACTACCGCTTTCACTAATACTAAAGTTTAAATGAAGTCAACACCTGTGTTGTGTTCTCTCATCTGTACTCATTCATACCGCTTTCACTAATACTAAAATTTAAATGAAGTCAACCCCTGTGTTGTGTTCTCTCATCTGTCCTCATTCATATTGTGATCGTGAAAATATGTCTATGCTAAATGACCAACTAGCCCAAGCTACCATCTATTAATGTGCAATGCCTGTGCCTTCACCTTGTATTTCCCTTATTTACGCATTCCCATCGGGTGGATGATACTACAAATATTTAATGTGAAAACATGTGGACTGTGTTGCTAGTATTTAATGCACAAATTAATGCTGGATTCATGAAATTTAATCTGCAAGACAAATTACACAGGTAAAAAATGCAGTCTTCAAGGCTTAGTGGTTTCATTTGCCATGTTGTTAGCGCATGATCTCTGACTAGTACTTGAAGAACGAATCTTCATTAGTCTCAGTTATGAGGTTAAGCCAGGAACGTAGCTCAAGCTTACCAGAACGTCTTCTCGGTGAGGTCATTTAGTGCTAATATGCAATGCACGGAAGCCAGCACTATTTTTTGCCATAAGAGGTATACACTTGACATCATCTGCTAGGAGTGCTAGCAGTGTGGTTGCCATATTGCATGTTCGCTCACTCTCTCTATGCACAGGAAACTCGTTGCACGCACTGAGTTCAAGAGTCGTACGGTGCCAAGAATGACTATAAACAGCTGAAATGCCTTCTGCACATCAACACACAGACAGCACGTACAAAAGGTCCTACAAAATGATGTGGAGATGGCATCGCTGCCTCGCGTATCAAGACTCAGTGCATACCCCTATACTTCGTGATCAAATGTTTACACAGCCGTGCAATCAAAGTTAGGATTGTTGCAAGGTTCATTGTAAAGTGCATCAAGTTACTGTAATCTATAGGCGTTAAAGGGGCCCTGCAACACTTTTTGAGCATGGCCAGAAAACGCTGCCGATCAGTACTACGTAGAGGCTCCCGACAACACGCGACCCAAATATAGCGCAGCACGCTGTCTTTAATTCACAATAAATTATCGAAGTCAGCAACAAATTGCTTTCTCTTCTCTCGACAAATCACAAAAAACGCTCAAAAATCACTAAAATCACTCCTAAAAAGCCCATCTATCAGCCATTGGCTGACTTGAACATGGTGCACTCGGTCGTTACAGAGATCGCCGCGAGAGGCCCCGATTTGTCCACGCGTGCACGCGCGATCCCACTGAAAAATTGCGCATTCGAAGAAAAAGTGTTGAAGGTCACAAGGGGCACGTGACGTTTTTATTTGCTCTTGCCATCCCTTCCCGCTTAGCTTCCAGCGTTTTCGTCAAGAGGAGAGAATGCAGTAGCAGCATGTGGCAAATCTTTGCCCCTCGCACTGATTGGATTCTTAAAATTTCTGCAGCGTTGAATTCGTGAGGCAATAAGCTCTTCTAGTGAATTCATTCCATGGTTACTTGAAAAGTGTTTCAGGGCCCCTTTAAGTCTATAAGGACAGTGGTGGTGCACAGAGCTGCCAAAATAATGAAGCATGCCTAAACACCATGTCTGAATAATTGGTCAGTAACTGTTAAAGTGCTATTAGTAGTTGTAATGCTATGCATGTTGAATTAATGAACCCAGATATTATAAAATATCAGTTATAAAAGTGAACAAATAGTCTGGCTATAAATATAGTGCTAAGAATATACATTCATGAAAACATTTTCAGATGTAACAAACTTACCGTATTTTTGCGCGTATAACCTGCCCCTGCATTTAATCCGCAACCCCACTTTCAGCTCACCGAGAAAGAAAAAAAAAAAATCCTCACGTATTGCCCGCACATTTGATATACAGGAAAGGCTGTACAAAAGCTACTGCTCAAGCAACATAGCACATATGTAGACAGAAAAAGCTTTATTTAGCAAGCAGAATACGCTGTCTGCAAGGCCAGTCACAATTCACTCACTGGCGCTGCTCTCACTAGAGCTATCACTTGAGCTGCAGTCCTCACTATTATGCACAAGGTCATCTTCCGTTCCATCCATGTTGTTTGTGATGCAGCATTTCTTGAAACTTTTTCGCACCATCTCACCTGGAATGGCCTTGCATGCCTCGACAATCCACTTGCAGAATAGAGCAATATCAGGCCTTCGGACTCGTCCTGTCGGCGTCAAGTCGTAGCAGCCTTCGGCCATCCACTCGGTGTAATAGCGCTTGACATGCGCTTTGAAGGGCTTGTTAAGCGACAAATCTAGAGGCTGCAACATTGACGCCATTCCACCGGGTATAACAACTAAGTCGGTGCCGTTGCGTGAAAGGCGGTCCTTCACTTCCTCAGTTGTGTGGCCGTGGAACGAGTCAAAAATGAGCATGGACCTCTTTGCGAGCATCGCACCAGGCCTCTTCTCCCATACCGTCTTGATCCAGTCTACGAACAAGTCACTGTTCATCCACGCGTTCTCATGTGCGCCCATCACCACACTGGCAGGCAAATGAATCTTTGGTAGAGTTTTCCTTTTCAAGATGACGTACGGTCGCAGTTGCGTGCCGTCGGCGAGGGCACAAAGCAAGACTGTGATGCGCAGTTCCGTGTTCCCGCCGGTCAGCATGCTCACCGAACTGCTGCACGTCTTCTCAATCGTTGTGTACAACGGCATTTCAAAATAAACAGGAGTTTCATCCGCATTGCCGATTTGCGAGAAAATGTAATTGTGCTGCTTTCGCAGGCCAATTACATATCTCTGGTACTTGAGCAGCTTCTCCTCATAAGAAGCCGGCAAGCGTTGACATATTGTAGTCCGCCGTCTGATTGAGAGCCCGTGCCGCTTCATAAAGTAGTGCAGCCATCCGCGGCTCACATGAAACTCGTGAGGTAGGCCTAGCTCCCTCGAAAGTCGCCGCGCTTCCACTTGGGCCATCTCGGTCGATACGGCTTCTCACATCTTCGATGAACTTTACTAGCTCCGTCTCCAGTTCAGGGTAGGTACCGGTCTTGGGGCCACAAAATGACCTACGGTCACGGTGCGCGGCTTGTAGGCTCTCTTTCTTCTTTCTCCACAGTCGCACGCAGGACTGGTCCACATCGTGCCGTCTTCCTGCTTCGCGATTTCCGAATTCCTCAGCGACGGCGATGATCTTAAGCTTTTGCTGTGCCATGATGGCCTGCCGCCGTACGCTACTCATGGTGACAGAACAGATCGACTTAGGCTTGGCGAACGGGTCGAGATGTGGAGAACTAGCGGTCTTAGCGAGGTAAAGAGCGCTCACACTCGGCGACAACTTGACAGCACTACCCCTTCTAATACATTGTAACAGCACCCTGGAAACAACAGAACCGAAATGCATGCCTGCTACCGCGTCAAAAAGTAGTACATTAATTTACTGATAATATCTCAATAGGCACTATAATATCTCATTTGCCTTGCTGAAATAAGTACTGCTTTATTTATTATGGAACTTACTTTAATTATTATGGACCTTTCTTAGACAGCACCACCTTTTCGGCAAGCCCTTTCCAAAAGCAAACATGACGTCCCTGACGTAGGGACATGCGGAGGGTCACTGAGCGGCCGCGAACGTCCAAAAAATATACTTGTGGTGTGACAGTGAGATTTTACACTGAACGATCGAATTGTCTCTCCCCAAATGTTTTTCTAAACGCTTCAACGATGCAACAAAGCGAAACCAAAATCGGCCGCAAGCTGACGTGCTACTTGCGGAGCAACACGAATTTGCGGAAACCGCCTCCGTAGCCTTCACTACACTCTTAAGTGGCTTCACAGCACAACACACATTGCTGTGAAGCAGCACTATAGAAAAACCCCGTGTATTATCTGCACTTCCACTTTGCCACTGAAATTTATGGGTTTTTGGTGCGGTTTATACGCGCAAAAATACGGTATATTTCATGTAAGATGCAACTTTTTTATAGTGAGGTTCGAGTGTAAGTGAATGTGTCTGCTTTTGAGTACGAACATGATAGCTGAGCACATGGAGCCTTACCATAGCGCACATAAGTGCTGAAGAGATGGGTAGTGAAAGGGGCGTTGCATTGAGCAGAGCATTCAGGCAGAGGAACAGCGGTGCTACCAGACTGCTGTCCCAAAGGTCTAACTCCCCGTAGGACACCGTTGTCAGCTGCAAGTGTACCATGCAATGAAATTAACAACCCCTGCAAGGTACGACTGCTTGGAACAAAGCATTGAAATACAGCTATAAATTTTCAACAAGTCTTTTCTTGCAGGTCAGGAAAACAGGCTTAAATGACCTCTCACCAGGCCACATCATGAGCTTTGGGTACAGACTGATGGATGGATGCTACGAGTGTCCCTTTATATCACACCAGCGAGTGCGCTGTCAGTCTTCATGTGTTCCTGCGCCTTATTTGAAGAGAACTAAGCAAGTAACGGCTTGTTCTCAAGTTATACACAACATTTCATCATGGCAAGCCTACAGTGCCCTCACAGTCTTGTTCCGAAATTTTTCTTGGATTGGCAAGCCTTCTCACATGAAACAAGCGTGTTTTCTTTTTTCCAGGATTTAGAAAGTCAATTTGCTAACTAAGCTCAACATTCATTCTCTTGGTACAGTATACTAATTGTTCGGAACACATGAATACAATGCAAAATGACCTACACAGTAAGAGAGAGATTCCACTTACCACTAGCCTGATGGTGATTTTTGCAAAAGCAAAGCCATACGTGACCAGGAACATCACAGGGTGGGCAATCATGAGACCTGTCTTGAAGGTAGCCCAGAGACAAGTAGACAGGCTCACAAGGGCAGCCATAGGGTACAACGTGCGCTCCTATAGGAACCAAAGAAACAAAGAGATTTATCGCTGCATTACTGCTTAGCATTGCTTGACGCCACGTAAAAATGATTTCAAGCACATCTCAACTCTGCTTTGAATCACACAACAGTGCATTAGCCCCTCCTCTGCTTTGGACAAGTGCAGCTCATCAGCTTGATAGAAGAGCTCTTTGTTGTTGCCAGAATAATTAAGAATCATAAAACCATTCTTAAAATGAAAAAAAAACAATTCTAACGAAGTTCACATTTTTCTTTTGTTTTTATTGGCAATAATTCAACAAGTAAATAACAATAAACTTTTTAAAGCTAATTTGACTTCATATGCACTCCTTTCTTTCTCACAAGAAAATCTTGCTTTTGGGAAGCGAAATTCTCGCTACCAACCGAATGAAAAAAATAACTACGTTAAGGAGAAAACGTCTAGAAATACCAAAACAGTGAAGGGTTAAGCAAAAAATAATTAGTAAAAAGAGCAATAAGTTTGCAAGCAATTAGTGCGTAGCCTTTGGCTGAAATAACGCAGCCATTGTAACTCCTATTCGCTATAATCCATCTAGATTCATTCATAACACAATGCCACAAACAGCACAAACTTTTGATAATAGCAAGCAATCACCCTTTAGAAGTAAAATAACAGAAAGGAAAATGATACTAGAATGTAGTTGCATACCGTACGACGAGGAATCTTAACAAGGCCATCAAGAGGAGTCTTCCCGCCAAGGACGATACGAACGTTGCCCAATATTGCAACGACCAGGCAGCAAAAGGACATAAACATCAGAATCTCACGTAGTTGAATACCGTAAAGTACCTGAGCAATGAAGAAAATAACTAGGTTAGAATGACAACATTAGGCATATTAAAAACATACATCAAAAGTAACAGCAATGTAGTAATAACAGCAGAGGCCAGAAAAGTATATACTGCTCTAGCAGGACAGTGTCAAGGCATACCTCACTTGACTTACCAATTCCCTTTAATGTTCTTTTACGTTTCATGATGAGTGTACCACAAAAAGCCTCAATATCAGATGCACTTATTGGATAGCTACAAACTTAAGTGAAAGGTTCCAAGGAAACCATTTGCTCCCTAACCATATGTGGCCTTGGCTATTCATGCTCACCATGGTCACAACAACCAGTTCCCTTTTATTACAGATTTGATAGGGTTACTTACATTCTGAGTCCATAGTTTCTGGCCATAGGATAGCTGTCAAAAGGTGCACAGCCATCATGGAACATTGGCACTCGGAGACATCAATCCTATTGAAGGTAAAAAAACAACCACAGTGTCATTGCCTATAGCTATGTTCAGTGCACTTGGAACAATATATTGATCAAGCATGCATTACACCATTGGAACAATAATACAAGAATTGAAAAATCAAGATAGGGGTACCAGCACATGTGCGATGAGGTCAAATAATGCACAATAAAAAGACTTAATTGCAGATTTTCACGAACCTACTCTTTTAGAGCTTCCGACAACCATTTTAGGTATTAAAAATAACTGTGTGCACCTCTACTGGCTCTCAAAGTTCACTTTTTACATATAATGATGCCAACAGAGTCATGTGCACGATAAGTGTCATAAGTTGGTCCATATACCATCCTCCTGAGACACATTGTTCTATTACACATTCCTTTTTATCTATTCTTTAAAAGCTACAATCCTCTTAAAGCCTCTTGAAGGTAAAGATAGAGGGAATTACTGTGTGCACCTCTACTGGCTCTCAAAGTTCACTTTTTACATATAATGATGCCAACAGAGTCATGTGCACGATAAGTGTCATAAGTTGGTCCATATACCATCCTCCTGAGACACATTGTTCTATTACACATTCCTTTTTATCTATTCTTTAAAAGCTACAATCCTCTTAAAGCCTCTTGAAGGTAAAGATAGAGGGAATTACAAAGAATAAATAAGCTGTCTATAATTCTTTGTAACTTAATTTGCCTATATTAACCGGAAGTGCGAGTGGTGATTAGAGGAAAACACTCTCGCATAAAAACAGTTGTTGAAAGTCTTCTATAGTAAAAACTGTTTATTAACGTAAATAGCAATGATATAAAAACACAAGAATGACTGAAACTGCTTCAATAAGAGACACAAAGAGGCTGGGAAGTGTTGAAGTGAAAAACCCAGCTGTTCGTTTTGGTACTCTGATTGCAACTGGCCAAACAGTCCCACGCGCTCCTGTTTGTGCTTCGAAGAAAAGCCCGCTTTCCACCCCCGAGTCGCCATTCTCCGTGCCGCAATCTGCCAGTGCAACGCATTTGTGGGCTACAGAGCATTCTTCTGGTGTTGCTGCAGTCGTCGCCTCTTTTCACCTTGAGATAACAATGGCGACTCCAGAGCAGTAAAAAGAGAGAGAGGCAAGGAAATGCAAAGTTCCAACAAACACAACAGCAAGCTTTCCATTTTCACATTGGGGATACAAGCCCTAGCATAACAGACATCAATGAACTTCCAGGCATCCTCATTAATTTGGTTTTTTTTTTAAACCTGGCAAGTTGCTCTAATGTTACTATCATAAACAAGTCAGTTAATTTAACAGATTCCAAGGCATGCCCAACCTTACTTCGCTTTGTATTCTTGAACAAGATATTGCCTACTTCCCATGTGGATTCTAATGCATAGTGTCCACCTATCCTGTTCCTTAATCTTACACCCATCCTAATGTATTACATCTCCGGTTGGGTTGTTCTCAGCTACGTTCTATGTTGACTTTATCTGAGAAGTGCAATCTTGCAATGAATCTCTAGCCTAATTGTCCAGAACATGAAATCCTACAATTAAGTAGGATTTTCAGTAATTGTGCCTTGACAGGCTTATATAAACCTAGTATATCACCACTGTCATTAATACTAATTCGAAAGTAGGGCAACTGTAAAGTACAGCTTTCTGGTTCCGATGTATGGCTTTCTGGTTCTCTACAATTGAATGAGCCCTACGAGCTAAAGTAACATCGACACAGTAGATATCTTACGTTTCCATCTCAGCACTGCATCTCAGTGTCTATCACGTCCATCCTGCGTTTCTTTATTCTGTTTTGCAACTTTAAGAGGCCAATCGGCTAAGGTGCATATCACATGTTTCACCTGACCATACACTTCCTCCTACAATTTCTTCTAGAACAGCAGTGTTTTCTCATTACTAGCTCATGCCGATTTCACTTTCAATTATTCTGATTGTAAGCAGTACTTACAAACTGCCTTTAATATAATAAAAAGGTAATATGATTAAAAAGATAAAAAAAAAAAAAGACCTAGAGGCTTACCGTACCCCTTTTTCCATAGCTGGCTCTACAATCGGTGCACAGCAAACTTTTTTTTGCAAGACTGCTACTTTTGCTCTCAGAAGGTGATTACTGAAACAATGCATTTCATTCTATTCTACTCCAGATGTGCCAGGAAAGTTTCAACATCAAATGTCAGTTCTGATATCACGTTTTATTAGCAAAACAATGGTTTCAAATTGCTGCTTGAGAAATTTCTACTGATGATAACAGCCCAGAGGGCGGTCATCGGCTAACAAACTTTATGCTCAGCGATATATATATATATATATATATATATATTTGGTAAGAGGGTAGCATTGATAAAAGTATGCAAGAACTGTGAAACAACTCACTTGCCAAAGATCATCACATGAGTCACATAGTCCTGCCAGTGGGTGGAGTAGAACGCCACCGCAGACAGAAAAAAAAAGGTGACCAAGAGTGCGGGAGAATCACCCAGTTGCATGGCGATGGAAATAGATGTAGTGACAAAAACTGCAAAGAAAAATGTCCATCAGATTTGCAGGCCACCCCAAGATTAGTCCTGTGCACTCAATATGACAGCACTGCAAGTAACTTTGACAAAACTTGATCAACGCAATCAGCCACGAATGGTGGATGATAAGAATAACATACCATAAGGCATCTTTCTGCGATACCACCCCACCTCAATCCACAATGTCACTGTGACAGCGCAAGGTATTCTCATGGGCAGTTCGTTTGTGTCAGTTGCTCTGTTCGTAGAAATGCCAAACTCAAAGAATAATTGCTGCCTCTTTGGGGGCAGTAGCACCTACACCTATTCTCCAGGCACATGATTTTACCAGCTTCCAAATACAGAATACGAATGTAGCTTCCTGAACCCAAATGTAATAGTGATTGGCACACTTTGCACTGCCATGGCTAGCAAAACATGCACCGCAACGACAAGCTCGGCTGCGCTGGTTGAAATCGGAGCAGTGAATGCAATGCCACAGTCGCTCAACTGAAAAGCCTTTTTTATGCAACAGCCACGACAGAGCAATGGCGGGTGCAATCTGTTTCGATCTGCCACTGAGTTTGCTGCCATGTTATTCAGAGAGTGATAAACCGTGATCGTTTCATGAGTGAAACAGCCCGCGTTACACGCGCACAGTTTTGCTCAACAGGCTCATCACTTTAGTTCACGTTTTTCTCCAGCTCGTGCATTTTATGTTGCCAGGTTTCCCTGAGGGTGCACTAAGGTCTGGCAAAAAAAAAAAAAAAATCACACACACTAACACTATGGTCCTCTGATGGCTGCTAACAATTAACGTCTTCTGAAACCAAATGGAAACTAAAACACCTCTAGCAATTGAAGCATCAAAGCACAAGCACAGGGCTTGCCATTGCTTGCGTCGTCTACTGTCGTATCCCTTCACGTTTACTGCTGTGACCAATTTGGTGCTGGAGGCAGCGCACGACCATGGCGGCTCCTAATGTATGCACGATGCACATGAAAAGCTGGTTGTTCATAAAAGTAAACCGATACAGAATGTTCCCTGCTTCATTGCATCATGCAGAGTCACGAACTCGCTTTCATTGATGAAGATACCCAGAAAAATTGTATTTGTTACATAAACATATTTAGGCTCTCCCGACTGATTGAGCCTGATAAAACATAAGCATCAAAAAAAAATACAGGTTTTAACCGATTACTAAAGTCTACAGTTGACTATCCCGATTATTAATATGTGCTTTGAGTTCCTGGCTGATATTGTTTTAGCACTCTGCTACTTCAACACATCAATGCCATGTGATGAAAAATGAAATACACCTGACTCAAGCTTCTCACAGCACCACAATATGCAGAAATTCCAGTGAGAAGAAAGCAGCTCTCGTAAATCTCTGCATCTGAACAGTAATATTCATGTATTACCGAACTAATATTAATGCTATACATGATATATAAATGCGATAGGTCACTACACAATTATGTCCTGAGCTTTCTGATCTATTTTTTCTGAGCACGTGTCGAAGTACACAATTTTACTACCTAGAGATACACTCTGCATTTTTCAGCTACAATCTGCATGTATGTTGTGAACCAATAAATGTGACTTATATTCATTAGATCATTCTAGATAAAAATTTGCTGCATTTGGCAGATGACAACAAAGATAAATTATACAACTGCTTAAAGGAGCTGGTACAACCTGTTGATGTGAAACAATAACAACACTGCTGCGTCAACATTGTTGTCTTGAAAATTGGAACAGGTTGTTTTGCTGCTCTATCTTAGAAGCCAAGGCAATGCCAAAGCTGGGAACAATGGAAGACTGAACTGGTCGCTTTATACTGCATGGTTTCAGCAGGCCATTTCAAGCACGTTAAATATTTTAAAGAGGAACAGAAGGCTGGATGGTTTGGAAGGGGCATTGTTTGATAAGTGATAGGTACTCATACGATGAAAACTAGAAGAATTGTTTCACGAGATATCCTTCAATACCAGACACATTCTCTACTACTCACAGATAGCCCTGTACAGCCTTAACAAGCAGTTTGAGCACTGAAGCAGAATAAAATCTATAAACATTTTTTCTACACATATTATCGACCTCAAGTGGTATTTTTGTTTCGGCCTTCAGTTACCTTGTAAGTTAAATTTCTTAATGCATACAGTGCCTCCCCATATCATAATAAACCTTTATTAGTTTAAAAAAGTACAAAAGTAGCCCATTTAGCGATAACAACTTGCACTTACGAAGTACAAAAGAGGGCCTATGCAGACACAGACACAAGTGGTCGCCCACCTTTTAATACTTATTATTAAAAGCACCTCAAGGGCTGCATTATTATTAAAGCACCTCAAGGGCCGCAAAGAAAAACATTTATTTCTTCAGCATGATTGCCGAAAAAAAGATTGTACAGTAACATTAAACTAGTGATGAAAATAAAGCTTCATAATTTCAGTAATACCAGTGGATATACCGTAATTACTCGAATCTAATGCGCACCTTTTTTCCGGTTAAGCCAGTTCAAAAATCGCATGCGCGTTAAAATCGAGTACGCACAAAAAAAATTACGGTCAATCTATTACCATCGGCAAATCCAAAATGGCCGCCCCCTACGTGCGTCGGCATGGCGCGTCGGCCATTTCTGCCTATGTGTTTCCCATGTGCGGCACTTCGTACGTGTGCTGAGGAGTTCGTCATCTAGTAGTGCATTAGCATCAACGGCGTGGAAGGGCCGACTCCAAAAACTCGAGTGCACCACGATGCCGCTTTTAAAAGAAAAGTCATCGCGTGCGCAGAAACGGACATAAATCGGCCGCATCGCGGTCGTTCGGAGTTCTCGAAACGTGCGTGCGGGACTGGCGGAAACAAAAGCAGAAGATTGTCGACAGCAAAGCTTCACGCAAAGGCTTCAGTGGACCACAGCAGGGTCGGTTTCCGCAAATTAAAGAGCTGCTCGGCGAGTATGTGCTTGAGCAGCGAGCGGCACAGCGGCCCGTGACGACAGGACTGCTCCAAGTGCGGGCTATGCAATTAGTCTTAGAAAAAGGTCTGATGCGGAGCCAGTTTAAAGCGAGCAGGTGCTGGCTAACTAACTTTATGAAGAGGAAAGGCTTTTTCCTCCGAAGGGGAACATGCATATGCGAAAAGTTTTGCGGAGGAGTACGATGAAAAGCTTCACAGTTTTCAGAGGTTCGTTCTAAACTTGCGGCGCAACAACGGCTACCTGCTTGGGCAAATCGGAAATGCCGATCAGACGCCTCTTTACTTCGACATGCCTGGCACCACAACCGTCGAGAAGAAGGGGGTGAAGCAAGTTCGCGTGCTGACATCAGTCCACGGTAAAACTACAGTGATGGCAATGCTCTGTTACACGTCAGATGGGCACAAGCTTCGCCCGTACTTCATATTTAAATGGAAGACGCTCCCGAAAGGAGTCGTTTTTTCGAGTGGTGTGATCGTGCGGGCCAGCGAGAAAAATGGGTGCGCGTTGCAATCGATGTCTTATTTTTTTTTTTTCGCGGTGGAAATCGGGTGCGCGTTACAATCGAGGCCGCGGTAGAATAGAGTAAATACGGTAAACAATGAAAAGTGATGATGATATAATATAATTCTAATTAGATTTAGTACCAGCATGTGCAAGCAATAAAGGTAGTTTGCATTCAGACAACTTGCAAATGAATAGCATAAGCACATGTTAAGAGGGAACATGGCAATGAAAACTATCTTTGTTATTTATAAAAATAAAGCAATAAAACTCAGCATGCAAATGTCACTTGTTATGCTCATATCATAACCGAAATCAGTTCTGAGCTATCAATATAGTTTTCAAGTAACAACACTTGGTAGACTCTCGCTGTCAATCAATTATATTATTTAGACATGAGCTCGTCAAAATTTTCGTAAAAGGATATTCACAAAAGGCAATTGTGTGCCTTAATGCCACTGGGTAGTTTTTAATATTTAGGTAAGCACACAAAAATATTTTTGAAATGTCCTGGGCAAATTGTTTTACTAACAACTTTTACAAAAAAGCCAATTATCAAAATCTGTATGACGTGCACACAAATATGGACAGCTTTACAGCACTCACCAAATATTATGACCTAAGTGCACTATATCGTCATTCGTTGCACAATGGCACAGGGATGACTGAAAAAAACTGCTCGAGAAATGAAAGCTGAGAAAATAGAGCTAGAATTCAGAAAACGAAACTCGGAAGAGAGCTGACTTTATTTTTCGTTAAAAAATGCAGCTTTGTGGGTGCCTTGAGCTCCGATCTGTCCTTTTTATGATGATGCCAATATGGTGGCACTGTAACAAAGGAAAGCTGCAGATTTGCATTTTTTGAAATTTCACGTAGCTTTTCACGCAAGCCCACCAGTATAAATACTTTTTTCTCGAATTCTGGTACTTATTTTAGTCTAATATTTCACCATGATGTAAAACATGGTGTCGAAATTGCAGAAAAGAAATAAATTGAAAAATGTTGGCCAAATTTGCCATTCCCATTGCCACGTCCCACATATATGAGCAACAGCATTTAGTAGTAAGCACTGGCTATTTTCAACTTAGAGCAAGTCAACAGCGACCATCTGTATTCTATGTCATGTTCCAACAAAAACATAAAGGTTTCTTCTTCATTTCTTTTTGCCTCAAGTGCAAACAAAAGCATAAAACCACTACCGATGTTTGAGAATAAAGTTAAGCTAACCATGAGCTGCTCAACGTATGACTTAACGCAATAAGTAGCCTGAATCAGATAATTAAGCACTCATAATTATATACAGAAAAAAATTATAATAAAGCCTGAAGAGCATCAATCTAATAACCTGTGGACACTGTCCTCTCAACCTCTTTCTGTGTGTCCCCCCCACTTTTTTTCCTTCCTCCCCTTTCTCACAAAAAATGCGTCAACTATGGTAAAGTGACAGAGCCCCTTCCTTCTGTATGAAAGGTATTGGGTACAACTTCCCAATGAGATCGAGCATCGAATGATATTTCTAGTTTCTTTCCTTTTTC